TTGTAAAATACAGAAAATATAGCCTTGCGAAGTTTGCATATTTTCAGTATATTTGTATTACGTGCGGAAATTGTTACCATTTTCGGCTCAAAAATGGTAACAATTTCCGCACGTAATATAAACATACTGAAAATATGCAAACTTCGCGAGGCTATATTTTCTGTATTTTACAACATTTCGCAACCAAATTTTGCAATTTTACTAGTTTTAATAAGTTCTTTACCGGAATTTACTTTTTTTTGCCTAAATCAAAAATTAGTCTAACATGCAAGTTGTCTATTGCTAATAGGCAATTCCAGCTATGGACTAAATTTTGATCTAGGCAAGAAGAACAAGATCCATCACCACAGCTAGAAAGAGCATGTTAAAATTAGTGAAATTGCAGAGTTTGGTTGCGAAATGTTGTAAAATGAGGAAAATATAACCCTGTGAAGTTCGCAAATTTTATATAGATTTGTATTACGCGGGGTAAAAATAACCACTTTCGGCTCAAAAATGGTTATTTTTCACGCGCGTAATACAAATCTATACAACATTTGCGAACTTCACAGGGTTATATTTTCCGCATTTTACAACATTTCGCAACCAAACTTTGCAATCTTACTAATTTTAACATGCTCTTTCTAGCTGTGGTGATGGATCTTGTTCTTCTTGCCTAGATCAAAATTTAGTCTGTGGCTGGAATTGCCTATTACGAATTCAGTTTACTCTGCCCAGCAAAGCAAGACAAACTTTTGCTACCCCTCATCCAATTTTCAGCCAAATTTAACCAAAATTTAATCAATCTGTCCTTGGACAATGGCCATTAGTACCACAAAGTTTCGTATTAATAGGTTTGATATTTTTCAAGTTATCGCGCTGAAAGATAAGCGCGTAACACACATACAAAGACGGACGAAAAAAGTTTGATTCAAGTGAAGAAAATTCACTTGTAAACATCACTTGCAAGTCAATACGTCTTTCGACGAAAGTAAAATTTTATCATCGACAGAATGAAGTAGATATTGAGATTATGTCATCACTAGGAAGGACTGTTGATCAACAATCATGCAATGAATTCGCTGTCAAGTTTTGGTAAATGGGCAGAAAGGAATACAGTTCCTGATGATTCCGACCCACAACATTACGACTACGCCACTCTGTTTACCAGGTAAGACGGAATTATTTCGTAAAATGCTTTGGGAGTCTGGCTATTCCATACGCAAAGTATGAATAACTGTTGACACCAAGATGCCAGTACATTACAGTAGCATACTGCACATTAGATTCTCGTGTGATTGTATATACGAGCAGAGTACAGCAGAGTGTTTGTCTGTATGTGAGTGCAAGGCAATTAGCCATTCCGAAGTTGATGAGAGGACTGGGGACGATTGTTAAAAAGTGGCCAAATTAAGAAATAACTAAAAAGACAACCTAAAAATTAGTAAGTAAACAAAGTTTGAAGACGTTTACATGAATACCCTTCGAATAAAAGCTTTCGAAAATCGCGATATTTACTCAATTTTTGAAAGCTTATTATTCGAAAGGTATTCATGTAAACGTTTTAAAATTTTGTATACTTACTAATTTTGAGGTGGTCTTTTTAGTGATTTGGTTCATTTCTTAATTTGGGCACTTTTTAACACTCGTCCCCAGTCCTCTCATCAACTTCGGAATGGCTGATTAACCAGCTGATCAATGCTAAATACTAGTCAGTAAGATATAAGAATAAGAAGCTGATTTTGAATGACATATTTTATATATTTTTCAATTTGAAAAAGCCATAATTTACATTATATTAAAGAAGGTTTGAAAACATAAAATGTTCCCCGTAGAAAGGTTATGTTACGATTGCTTCAGAAACGCGATCCCCAGAGAGCAAAGTGTTTCACATTAAGTCTTCATCACTGACCTCACTTATGGTAAACCTTCCTTATGGGTGGTACCTGTACGGTTGACTCAACTGATGAATGAGTACCATGTCTGCCCGTAAAAAGTGGATAATGAAATTGTCCTTTTTGTCTTAAGATATGACATTTGTAAAGACAAAAACCAGCCTTGCGACACATTAGGTGGGTAGAGTACAAATGATTTGATTTCTGTTTTAACCGTCGCCTATCATGAAAATGTCTTTGATACTTGACATATGTAGGTCGGCTAAAATAATTCTTCATTGCCAGGTGTAACCAATGTTGGGGGGATGTGTCAGTTTCCTAACTCCGTATCAATTTGTGAAGACAATGGACTCATGGTTGGAAAGACGCTCGCACATGAAACTGGCCACTCGTGAGTATATGGATAAAGATTTATTATAGATAGTATAATGGTAGTCATGATGAAGATGGTGGTTCATGAAGATGGTGGTAATGATAGTGGTGATCAACTGATGATGGTGATGATGATGATGGCGATGATGATGGCGATGATGATGGCGATGATGATGGTGATTCATAATGATGGTGGTAATGATGGTAACGGTAGTGGTGGTGATGGTAGTGGTCATTATGATAGTTAAAGGCATCGTATCTACCGCTTGTATTTATTCCAGCCTTGGCATGAACCATGATCTACGCCCCTTCTGTGGCGACAGTAAAAAGATGATGTCGCTCCATCCAGAGGGAAGCGATACTTACGAATGGTCGAAATGTAGTAGGATGTTTCTTAAACAGTTTCTCGAGTAAGTAGAGTTAAAAACTAAACTATATTTATACTAGATATATAAGTGTTCTGCCTAAAGGTCCATAAGAGCGAGTAAATCCATTTACCAAGTGTAGTCCGAGTCAATTTCGAGCCCCAGTCGTCCGAGTCACGAACTTGAATACAATTCACAATCGAATAGGGTTAGGGTTAGGAGTAGGGTTAGGGTTAGGAGTAGGGTTAGGGTTAGGAGTAGGGTTAGGAGTAGGGTTAGGGTACTAAGTCATTGAACTACAAAGACCGCTAAACAGCGATTCGGACATTTGACTCGGGCTCCCATAAGAGCCACGTATGTTTTAAATTTTGATATAGTAAATTTATAGATTTTACTTACATCGACCAATCACTGTCCTTCAGTTCTAGTGATTCTCGTTGTTTGGAGGACAGACCTAGGACAAAACAAGCAATAAATGTTCAAATATTCAACCACCCAGGACTGCTCTACAATGCTGATCAACAGTGTGCGTTATCTTATGGCGATGGAGCCAAATACTGCAAAGACAAACCACCAGAGGTAGAAAGAAGAAATACAATTTCTTAAGCCATGCAATAAGTCGAACTACTTTCATTTATACTGCATGGATACGTCTATCTGTTGCAAACTGTTCTCTCTAGAGGACCAGTAAGGATCATCTCTTATTGATCCAGTGTTACTACAGGAGGAAACCTAAACAAAACTAACTTTGTTTATACTGGATAGCTCTATCAGTTCTAAACTGTTCTCTCTAGAGGACCAGTAAGGATCATCTCTTATTGACCCAGTGTTACTACAGGAGGAAACCTAAACTAAATCAAATTTATATACATTGGATAGCTCTATCAGTTCTAAATCGTTCTTCTTAGAAATCCAATAATGGTGTAATTCTCAAATTGTTTTGGTTCAGTGTTTTACTACAGGAGAAGACGTAAACTGAACTAACTGCATCTATAACTGGATAGCTTTAACAGTTCTAAACTGTTCTCTCTAGGAAATGTGTAGTCAGTTGTGGTGTTCAATCCCTGCAGAAAAAGGCAATAACTGTCGCAGATTAAATCAACCACTAGCAGATGGAACTGCGTGTGGGAAACAAAAGGTAAACATGGTAATAGTAAACTGAACTAAGTTTATTTATACTGGATTGCTCCATGAGTCAGTCTAAACTGTTCTCCCAAGAGGTCCAGTATAAAGGATTATCTCTTATTGATCCAGTGTTACTACAGGAGGCAACCTAAACTAAACTACCTTTATTTATACTAGATAGCTCTATCAGTTCTAAACTGTTCTTCCTAGAGGTCCAGTAAGGATTATCTTTTATTGATCAAGTGTTACTACAGGAGGCAACCTAAACTAAACTAACTTTATTTACACTAGATAGCTCTATCAGTTCTAAACTGTTCTTCCTGGAGATCCAGTACGGATTATCTCTTATTGATCCAGTGTTATTACAGGAGGAAACTTAAACTAAACTAACTTTATTTATACTAGAGAACTCTATTAGTTCTTCCCAGAGGTCCAATGAGGGTCATTCCTTATTGTTCCAATGTTATTGACGAAGAAACCGGAGTACCCGTAAAAATCTGGAGTGGTTGGTAGGGTCAAACTGGAACAATAATTTTTAACGAGTCCTTGCAATTGATAAAAGATACAATGTGTTTTCTTTTCAGTGGTGTAAGCGAGGGAAATGTGTTGAGAAATATACAGAAGGCCCGGATGCTATCGATGGAGGGTGGTCCAACTGGTCTCAAGATTACACTGAATGCACACGCTCGTGTTCGGGTGGGGTACAGTATAGGACAAGACAATGTAGCAATCCTTTGTAAGTTAAACTGTACACGACTGTATACAATTTCTCAAACTCATTAAGAGATTATTTTGTATGTTACGTAACACGCGCGCAAAACTAAGAGTATAATGGGCCACTTGCGGTTATGACTACAATCAAAATTTTTATTTTTCGATACGTTTTTCAATCGGCAAACAAACTTAACAAGTATGTTCAGTGTTTTATCTGAAAAATTATGTTAAAATGAAGAGATTTTATACGGTACGGCAAAGAGAAAATGATGTCTAAAGTTCAGTAAGTTTTGCTTATACTTCTGTGACCTTCTGTAAATATGGCGTCACTTTACAGCATGATCAACTTTAACTGACGCTATTTTCTAATAAATTATTTGGTTCTTTAGACCAACAAATGGAGGAAAGTTTTGCGAAGGAGAGCACAGAGAATACAAACTGTGTAATACAAAGGTAGTGGTGTGATGTACTACTAACCTGTTATCCAATGTTTCGTCAGCTCATCCGCATAACTGTCTTCATTTTTCCTAGAAATGTGTGGATGAAACAAATTTCAGAAACGTGCAATGTGAAGAGAAGAGTAAAGAAATGTTCAATGACAAGTTCTTCGATTGGGAATGGAGGCCTTCAAATCTCAGTGAGCTTATATTTATACTGCATATCTTGTATCATTTCTAAACTGTTCTTCCAAGAGGTCCAGCAAGGGCCATCCGTTATCTGCCTAATGTCATTACAGGAGGAAACTTGAGTACCGGAGAAAACATGTGGTGTTTGGTCAAACCGGAAGCAACCTTCTACACTCGTAAAAACGCACAAGTTGTTACAGGTCTGCAAACAAGTTGTTACAAATCTGTTCACAAGCTGTCGACAAGTTGTGTTCGCACTGCTTGTTCCCAGTTTGTTGTAACAAATTTGAAACAAGCTGTTAACAACTTGTAACAAGCTTGATGGCATTATCAGCCTGGTTACAAGATTGCGCTAACAAGTTTGTTACAGCCATGATATAACAAGGATGTTACAAGGTTGTCAACACAAGGTTGTAACAATTTTGTTGTATCAAGCATGTCACGGACTTGTCAGAACAACCTTGCAACAAGTCTGATAATTTCGACAAGGTTGTTACAAGTTGTGAACAAGTTGTTCCAAACCTGTTGAGAACTTGTGGCAAGCAGTGCGGATACATCTTGTTAACAGCTCGTGAACAGACTTGTAACAAACTTGTACGTTTTACGTGTGTACCATGATATAGTCATAGGAATTATAAGCAGATAACTGTCTACTGATATTCCAGGAATCATACCCAGGTCCAAGAAAGGAATGAAACATGCATTAAGGAGCGGATAAAACGAGGATGAGAGTTGACAATAACACGACTTGGTCAGCTGTTCTTGATGATTTCCCAACACTATCATGTATCTTATTGAAGTTAAAACATAGTTGGAACACTCGTCAAACCTTTATTTTGTTAATCTAGAGCTTGAAATGTCCCCTGTAACAATGCGTGACTGGCAACTCTCATCCTTGTTAGACCGGGGTTTAAGTATTGTGCCAAGCTTCTAATACGTTTGTTAAAAACCATCATTGTAGTGAACAAATGCACACTGGGATGTTTCATAAAGAACAGTAATCAAGGCTACGCTTTTGGCAATGTGGAGGATGGTACAAACTGCGACGATGATTCTCACAGTAAATGCATTAACGGAGAATGTATGGTAAGAATGTCATATATTCTTATTAGTTCTCCCCTCCCCCGCCCCCCAGTGTCTGCCATTGCCAAACACCTTCAGTTTTAACTTTGGTTACTCAAATTCTAGCATATTGGATGCGACAAAGTGATTGGCTCATCAGCCAAATTCGACAGGTGCGGTGTATGCAATGGCGATGGCAGTACATGTCGCTATGGTAACAGCACTGACGAAGCATTGAAGGCGAAACTCACAAAAAAATACAAGGAGCAAGGGAGCACTTTTAAAAAGACGCTTTCGTTACTTCATAAAATGGGTTATGGAGTTCCAGAGGATTACGCCTCGGCCAAAATGGACGAAGTGATCTCTGATTTCTACTGGGCTGTTATCAAGTCAGGGTGTAGCGCCACGTGCGGTGGAGGTCAGTCTATGGCCCGATGAATTTAAAATTGTCTTGATGAAGGGGACAGTGTTTAGTGAATGGACCTTTTACCACTGCCATCGATGTTTGATTCCCTCGGTTTGCAGTTGTCTGATTATAATTTCACCTCAGTCACATGTGAGAAGAATGCTTCCAATTTGACTCTATCAAACAGTCCAGTAAGGATGTCTGTTACTAGCCCTAGCTCTAGAGAAAAGAGAACTGATAGAACTTTCCAGTAAAGATAAAGTTTAGTTTAAGTGTCCTCGTGTAGAAACATCAAACCAATAAGATGTGGTCCTTAGAACTGACAGAGTTATCTACAAATAATTTAAGTTAACTTAGCTTGGTCAGTTTAGATTTCATTACACCTTAGCTTACGTTTAGCGTGACTATAACATAAAGCGCCCAGATAGACGCTCTGTAACTCTACCTAATTTACAGGAATGGAAATAACAAAGTCAGAATGCCGTCGTTCTGATGATGGGTCCCCTGTGGCTGAGAAAAATTGCGACGTCAAAATTAAACCAACCGACAGGACAACAAGATGCAATAGCAAGCCTTGTCAACCTGAGTAAGATGCTTCTATCAAAATAACGACTACACGCGTAAAAATCTCACAACTTGTCAACAAGATGTGTTCGCAACAGGCTTGTTGCAACAATGTTGTTATTTTATCAAGTTGCTACAAGGTTGTCACTCACAACTTGTTGACAAATTGTTGAATTGCAGGACGATAACAAGTTGTTGGAAGTTGGGACAACTTGTAACAAGTTTGTTGAGCTCGACAACACTGTAGCAAGTTGTCAACAAGCTGTTGACAACTTGTTAACAAGCTGGGAACAAGCAGTGCGAACACATCCTGTTTCGTAAACTTTCCCTCTTTTGTTTCTAGATGGCGGACAGACAGATGGGATGACTGCAGTAAAACCTGTAACGGCGGTACACGGACGAGACACGTGAGATGCGTTCAAATTGTTGACGGCGGGATTGAATACGACGTCGAAGATGAAATGTGTGATGCTGATGTAAGACCAAATACGAAAGAGAAATGCAACAAACAGGAGTGTAGACCTGAATGGGTGGCTCAACCCTTTGGAACGGTAAATAATTAAACTAATCTAATTTTATTTATACTCCATAGCTCTGCCCCTCAATTTTAAAGGTTTTTATTCAATTTTTCTATAGTGTTCCACCAGTTGTGGTCGTGGTGTTCAAAGTAGAAAAATCACGTGTCAAAAGGTGTCCAAAGATGGCGATGCCGAAGCTGTGGAAGAGGGCAAATGTTCAGATTTTATAAAACCAAACAGCGAAGAATATTGCAACGTACATAACCCCTGCCCCGGGGAAGGTAAAAACTTCATTCTGTTTCGCCTCATTTTTCACACGTAAAACGCACAAGTTGTAACAAACTTGCAGCAGACTTGTAGCAATGCTGTTCCAACAACTTGTCAACAGGATGTGTTCGCACTGCTTGTTCCCAACTTGTTGACAAGCTTGCTACAAGCCTGTTGCGAACACATTTTGTTGACAAGTTGTGAGATTTTTACATGTGTACTTAGAGACGAAATGATAATTTATTGGATGAGAGATCAATTAGCTATCTGTCTACTTTCCAGGAGAGTGTGGTGGTGAACACAGTCAAAACAAAGGTTTCATTACGAGTCCAGGATTTCCAGACAACTACCCGAACGGGAAAGAATGTATGCACTCAATTATCGTTCCGAATGATAAAGTTGTTAAACTTGTGTTTAAAAGGTTAGTGGTGTTAGTAAACGGCACATACATAAAGTTCAGTTTAGTATAATTTTCCTCCAATAGCAATACGAGACAAATAAAAAAGAACCGACTCTTACTTGACTTCTAGGAAGAACGGTTTAGAACTGATAGCGTTAGCCAGCATATTACACACAACTTACACACGTAAAAACGCACAAGTTGTAACAAACCTGCAGCAGACTTGTAGCAATGCTGTTCCAACAACTTGTCAACAGGATGTGTTCGCACTGCTTGTTCCCAGCTTGTTGACAAATTACCAACGGCTTGTTGACAAGTTGTTGCTACAAGGTTGTTGAGCTCACCAGACTTGTTACAAGTTGTTCCAACAATTTGTTATCGTCCTGCAATTCAACAATTTGTCAACAAGTTGTGAGTGACAACCTTGTAGCAACTTGATAAAATAACAGCATTGTTACAACTTGTTGACAAGCTTGCTACAAACCTGTTACGAATACATCTTGTTGACAAGTTGTGAGATTTTTACGTGTGTAAAACGAAGTGTTTGGTTTAAAGACTCGATCTCTTTTTACACGTCTATTAAGCCTCGATTTAAGTGGTGGTGTCAACAGCGCAGCGGATGGTGCGTGTACTGGTGATTTTGTCAAGATAATGGATGGTAATTGCGTCACGGGAGGCACTGAGACACGTTACTGTGGCAACCGTAATCCCGTTCCATTCCTCTCAAGTGGAAATAAACTTTGTGTGAAGTTCTACTCGGATGAGTCAAGAAACAGTAAAGGTTTTAATGCCTCATTCGAGGCTGTTGACCATCCGGCAAGACCAAAAGATCCCTGTGGTTCTACCATCACAGCGACGGTTGGTTTGCTGGCCTCGCCAAACTATCCCGAACCCTACCCAACCAACGAAATGTGCAATATGACAATTAAGACTTTGGAAGGACCAATCAAATTGAACTTTCAGTACTTTGACATTGGAAAAGATGCGTAAGTCGTAATTTTTGAAAATGAAAAATATTGGAGTGAAATCCGTGCCATGCTCCGCCCTGTTTTTCGCTTTGAGTATTTTTCTTCATAACATAGTTTTGCGTTAGAGGATGCATATTTGCACTTCAGTTGCAACTAATTGCTTGTTTAGTAATGACCTCAACAAGTGCAACGATGAAAGGATTACAAAAGGAGTTAAAGTAGAAAGTTATAAAATCAAAGGCTTAAAAATAACGACTTGTCAATGAGCAATCACATTTTAACATGACTGGACAAACGGCTCCAATTAAGCCTGACATAGTGACTGGTTGCTATTTTGTGCTGTTATCTATAGACCCGTCGCAGAAATGGCTCATAATATTTTGAGAAATTTTGACCTAATGTAACTTCCAACAATACTTCCAATACTTCCAATACAACAATACTTCCAATACTTCCAATACAACAATACTTCCAATACTTCCAATAATTACTGAGCTAAATCTTACAATAGTTTTTGCCTACAGTAGTCAGTGGCGTAGTCACTGACTAGTGTCTACAGGCAAAGGCAATTTAGTCCCGCTATGCAAATTCAAAATTACTATCATTATTCATTTCTTTGGAAATTGATTGTTTTCACAGTCAATTAACACGAAAATATTTGCATAGCGGGACTAAATCGTTTGGCTGGCTACGCTACTGACAGTAGTGTCAGTAGTTTCATCTGTGATATTGTGTTTATATATACTGGATTTTGGTAGAAACATGGTTATATACTGGAACTCTACAAGTCATAATATGTTTACAGGAACTGTGATGAGGACTACTTACTTCTTCAAGGGGACTCAGAAATGTCAAAACTTTGTGGCAGCAACTTACCTAAGATGTACAACGTCAGTGGCAACACACTCAAGCTAAGTTTCAAATCTGGTCAGCAGAATTTGAATAAAATTGGCTTTATCGCAACCTATGTTTCTGGGAAAGGTAACGAAATATACTGGATAGGTCTATCAGTTCTAAACTATTCTCCGAGATGTCCTGTAAGAGCCAATCCTTATTGCGCGTTCCAATGTTACTACAGAAGGAAACTGGAATATCTTGAGAAAATCTGTCGGCTGTTTGGCAGTCTAACTGGAAATACTCTTCCAACAAAGACTAAGTTGACATTATGATGAGACTACTGCATGTTGCAGAAGTCAAACCCTGGTCACAAAGGTAAAAGGTCACACACTAACCAATGCCCTCATTGGTGGCATGGCAAAGGAGGTGGGGGTGCTGCCCCCCCTGCCAAAGATTGACCAGTCAGCAAAATCTACATGCATTGACCATTGACAGCATTGACCACGCCACAACAACATCAACACCGTACCCATATTTTTTCCCAAAATACCCATATCATCAGCAAAAGTAAAGCCAGCCCCTCAGTTATGATACACTCACCATGCCCCTGGCTGTATTTTATTAGAACCGATTGCAATATATATTTTTAGAGCTAATTGCAAAGTCTTCCCAAGACAAGAACAAAGCAGATGTAATGCCAAACAAACTTTCAGAAATAAATCCAGTGAATGATTTAACAGATAGTGTACGAGGTAATTACTTTGAGAAACTAAGTTAGTATCAGATTTCCCCAGGGGTGGGAGATCTAGCCTCACCTGAAAGGAGGGGTGCAGGTTTTCCATGGGGTGGTGCATGAGAAAACCTTTAATGTGCACTCTCCTCTGCAACACTCGCTGCAACGCTATTATTCCACGTTTTACATTATCTTTTGTTTATAAAGTTTATATGAGCTTTTTATCACGTATGTGTGACTGGACAGTTCCTGTAACACAGTACTGTAAATTTGCTTGTTAATGTACAGTATATTTGAAAATATGGCTGCATAACAACCTCGACTTTTACATATTTAACCATGATATTTAGCTAAAGCATTCTGAGTATTTTCTCGTGAGCAATGTCAAACATTTCTATTTAATATTAATACAAACGATACAAAACCATTTGCTGATTTAGCAGAGGTTTTAGACCGAATTTACTGCAAAAAATTCTGTGTAAAAATATACAAAATACATAACATATCAGACAATTAAAATGCAAAAGATTGATATATAATATTTAAACGACTTTTACCATATTTCCAATTTTTTTAGATAAAATTCCACGACCATCAAATTCTGTCGAATTCTTGCCGATCTCATCCAATTCATTGGACAATAAAGAAGGTAAACTATGCATCTTAAACAGTATAAAGCACACTTTGTCAATCCTTTATCAAAAAAAAAAACCCAGAAAAAAATTGAACTGAAAGTCTGAAAACACGTGCATTTGACATTTCTTTATTTTGTTTGCAGTCGAGAAAGAGGAGGTCAGCAGTCATTCAGGCAAGGGTACGTCATATTACATTTCCCTGTACTTCTTTAGTACCGTCGTTTGCAACTAAGGATGAACACGCGCAGATCAGATACTGCATGAGTATGGTATGGTAAAACACATAGGTGGATTTGAAATTTTGAAAAATTGAAATCTGGAGTCTTTGAAATGGCAAAGTATAAAGCTTCGGATTGATGGGGGTGTAATTACCGAAAATATCACTTCGACGTTTCGTCTTTAATATGACTAATTTCGGCTATTGACGCATGAAAGCGGAGGGCCGTGCAAATTCCTGACCGTGTTGTGAACACTGTGGAAGCCCCAATTCCCGTCCTGTACCCTATCAAAACCCATTAGAGAGAGACTTGGGGCAAGTCTACCAATTAATCAACAACCTGTCCTCGGGAACCAGTCAACAAATTATCACGGTTGATCTAGACAATGACCTAATGTTTACATTTTCAAATTCTTTGTGAAAAAATCGATGTAACATTGGGAAATTTTGCCGTTTCTTTCTCAAAGAAACATGAAATATAATGTATTTGTTTTTTGTATATTTCTGTTCGGTTTAGTTGCTGTTTCTGCCAAGTCTACTGAGAAAGATGTGAAGGATAAGTCCGCCAGCGCTTCAATAACTTCAACTGGTGCCGGTAAGGATTATAACGGATTTATTTCAATGTGTTTGGAGGGTTTTTCTGGTCGACGGACAGTTTTGTCTTTGGTGGTTCATGTACCTTTAGTGTACAGTAGATTTCACTATTAAGGTGTTACGCTACGTAGTTCGTAGCTATAATCTTCTTTAGAAAATTTAATCTGTGTAGAGATTATAGTTTTATTGTCTTTCATTAGAGACAATTACGGCAGATGCCAACCGCAAACAACAAGTCGTGTTTTGAGTTCAACAATTAGCTGTAGAAAGTTAGGGTCACTTGTGTATTAACTGAATTGAAATACGAGTTACCTACTTAGCTTAATTCCTTTCGAACAGTTGTAGAATTTACCTCCAATTCTTCAAATGCGATTTGAGGTTTTCCCTTTGCCTTTTGGCCTTCGCGCGTTAGCGGTGTGGCATAAACGTCAATCTTAGGTTAACGTAAAAAGTTATGTAAAAGCTTTTCAACCGAAAATTTCAATTTCAAAAATTTCATCCGAAGATTGTTCAGAATTGTTGAATAGTGTCGGGCTTGTCTGAACGAGCCTTTCAGCTGTACAAGATCACTCAAAGATCAATTAAGAATTATAGTGAAAGCCATCTTACGATCCAACTTGACATGCACGGATTTTTTCAATTTTGCTTTGTTCTAGAAAGCGCCAAAGAGAGCAAAGTTGAAAAATCAGCGACAGCGGATAAGAAAGGTAAGGTAAAAATGAATGGAGGAGCTACAGCCCAGCAAATGATGGCATTTTGCCACACACATACAGTATTAACATTGACGGGTCGGCTAAAGATCTTAACTAATGCAGGCCGGGCGAGAGATTGGTTTGTCATTCTTCAGTCATATGAAATAAATAAATAAATAAATAAACTTTGCCTTTCAGATTTAAAAATCATCGATTCTATTTCAGATACAAGGCAAACAGTCCTTCGACCACTCCAAAGCGTTTTAGAACAATCTGGATCTTTAATGACACGAGGTAAAGACAGCTTTTGAGTGTTGCAGTCTGGATATAGGCACACTTTCACATGCATTTTTTTTTCTCGTATGTAATTCCTGTGAAGACTGTACTAATAGTTTTCTTGTAAATAGCTTTAATGGTTTGACGCCCCTCGTGGAAACCAACAAACTGTTGACGAGGCTAGCGTCTTTAAATAACGTTTACCATACCATTTAGCATGCACGCGAGGTTAATTTCTCTTGAGTTAAAATATCTTGTTTTATATTTTCTAGGTCAATGTCCAAGCCCATCAAGATTGTCCTGTATTAACTTACTATATTCCTACCCTTGCCAAGATAGTAACGCTTGTCAATTGAGGGGTATGGACTGTTGCCCAACGAGCTGTTCTTATGGACCCAGCATGTGTGTACCAAAAGGTAACAGATGGTTGTTTTAACAGAATATTTAAACTACACACGTAAAAACGCACAAGTTGTAACAAACCTGCAGCAGACTTATAGCAATGCTGTTCCAACAACTTGTCAACAGAATGTGTTCGCACTGCTTGTTCCAACTTGTTGATAACTTGCTATACAAGGTTGTTGAGCTCAACAACTAGATTTGTTACAAGTTGTTCCAACAACTTGTTATCGTCCTGCGATTCAACAACTTGTCAATAAGTTGTACTGGAAGAGACAACCTTGTAGCAACTTGATAAAATAACAACATTGTTACAACTTGTTGACAAATTTGCCACATGCCACAAGCCTGTTGCGAACACATCTTGTTGACAAGTTGTGAGATTTTTACGCACATGTTTAGAGCAGAAGTAATAACACATTTTCTTCTTTCTCAGTTTGGCGTGAATGTCCCCTGGTGACGCCGTACATTGCAAAGGTTTTACATACCTGTCAGACGAGTACTGACTGTGAGGCAAACCATATATGCTGTGTCGATATGTTGGGAAGGAGATATTGTCACAAACACGTAGCAATCGATAAATAGACAGAATATCCTGAGAGAGATCATGAAATATAAACCCGTCATCAAATGACAGTCAGAAATTCAACACATCTCTTGAACAAATGAAGTCACGTTGACGTCACACAGACTGCAGGCGCACATTTCACTGGATTGAACTGATTTTTAGCTTTGGAGACTAAAAGTAGTTCATGCATGAAACCATAGAGTTTGGACTACAATGTGTGATATTTTTATAAATATTATATTTTTAATATAAAGAAGAATGAAATTTTAGTGTGTATATAATGGTAGTTTGTTTGTTCTCATTTATTGAATATGATTCTTTGACCATGATCATATTTAATTGGAGTTTTATCCCACGCAGAAATCACTCAACTTGTCAACAAGATGTGTTCGCAACAGGTTTGTAGCAAGCTTGTCAACAAGTTATAACAATGCTGTTATTTTATCAAGTTGCTACAAGGTTGCCACTCACAACTTGACAAATTATCGAATTGCAGGACGATAACATGTTTTTGGAACAACTTGTAACAAGTCTGTTGACCTCAACAACCTTGTAGCAAGTTATTAACAAGCCGTTGACAACAAGCTGGGAATAAGCAGTGCGAACACATCCTGTTGACAAGTTGTTGGAACAGCATTGTGACAAGTCTGCTACAGATTTGTTACAACTTGTGCGTTTTTACGTGTGGAGATGAAATTATAGATCTTAAGACTTAACTAAGCAAGTGATGTTTTTGTCACCAAGGACGTCAGATTACCGAGCGGGGACTGGATAAAAAACTGTGTTTCTATCAGTCTGTGATAATCTTTAACACATGTGACAAAACATAAGATTTTTAAAGTTTCTTGCTTCCTTACACAAGCGTTTTGATGCAAAATGCCGCCAAAATTAGTCGTACCAATTTTCGGGTGACGTAAAGCAAGTTCACCTATAATTAGACAACTAAATGTTGATCTATTGTAGAAATGTAGAAAGTTACATGATGCATTCACAAACCACATAGCACACAGAAACACCATCTTTAAATAGATTTGTGAAACGAAAAAGGTTCATTGCCTTAGTGTGAAAATATAAGAATGAAACATCCAAATTAGAAATAAACATCACGAAAACTCATTTCCATTTTTCGTTTATTTGTTTTGATAACAAATGATCAACCGGTCAACAACCTGTCTTGTTTTGGTTTATCTATGCTACAAAAAGTCTCATCTCGATATAATTTTCAATTTTTACAAAGAGTCTCATCGATTCTTCTCCAAGATTATATTGAAGAAACTGAAAGTCTCATCGATATCATTTTTACGTTTTTTATATTATGGTCAGAAATAAATCGCCAAGGCGGAATAGAAGAATCTGTACTATACTGTAAAATTTTATTTCTAATCTCCTAAATCTAAGGTGAGAATTTTCAATGAAAAGTGATTTCTTAAGTTGTATGTGTACAATTATAATCAAACTACACTAGATAGACTGTTTCACCAAGAGCTGAAAAGATTAAAAGTTTAAATATAACTATATATATAGTAATATTATAAAAACATTGTTCTCCCTAATTCTTTGTTTTTGTATGTCGGAAATCCACATTTTCCCTTTGACAATACTAATTACTAATGATTTTAAGGTGGTGTGGCTAATTACTATGCTTCCAAAACAATTTATTATCCTGGTTGCAATATTTGTTTTGCTTGGACGATGTTTTGGAACAAAGGTATATTTTATGACTATATAATGATTGAATATTTTCATTGTATGATTACGCTTTTAATAATTCTATAATGATACGTTTTTAGTCATGGATTAATATTTGGTGTTCTAGGGTTCATTGCAGAAAAAAGATGAAAAAAATGAAGGGCGTGGCTTTATCAGAAGAAGTACGTTTTGTTTTATTCACTGCGGAGATAGAGTATTGGATAGTTCCAATTCCACACTCCCCCTGTAGTAACATTGGACCAATGAGAGATAACTGTTACGGGGGGGGGGGCTTTATATAAGGAGAACAAATTAGAACCGATAGTAATCCAGCATAGTGAAGTTAAGGCTTACACTATCAAAGTTTCTGTGATTACAGTAGGAATTTTTCGCATGGGTAAATTCTAGGTTTTGAAGGATTTGTAAGAAATGTTTGTGGAAACTTTTTAACACTGATTCAGTCCCCTCAAACATTTCTTACAAATCCTTCAAATCTTAGAATTTAGCTATGCAAAATTCTGTGATCACAGAAACTTTGATAGTGTATAAGTCAGGCTTTGGTTCGGTCTGTCGGTTATCCCATATAGTCTTTACTGGATCTTTAAGAAGAGAGATTTAGGGGCCACCTCTTCATTTAAAACTGATATAAAGCTATCTTTATATTCTAGTTTGCCCGTCAAAAGTGAGACTGAACTGTGTCAATGTGATGTACTCCAAGCCATGTCATCCAAACTACGATTGCTCCTACGCTGGATCGCAGCTTGTCTGTTGTGAGACTGGTTGCTCTGGGGATTCAAAATATGTCTGCGTTCCTGCAGGTAAGGCTGGATGGATCGTGCGCGTGGTTAATGCATGATAGTTACTGCATTTGCCTTTGACATCTGTGACCGTGGTTTGATTCCTGCAATATGCAGGGTGAGAAGGTAAAGTGTAAAATGTGATAAGGCCGACAAATATTTTCCGTCGGAAAAAAATTTTCACGTTGAAAATTTTCAACTTTTAACAATATTTTTTGAAAATTTTCTGTCCGTGGAAATTTTTCTTGAGTGGGAAATGTCTTAAGAAGAATAGTTTGGGACTGGTAGAGCTATCCTTGCCTAGCTAGTACAACTAGAGGTTCGAGGTTCCTACTGCAATATACTTTACCAATAAGAGATGACCCTTACTGAACCTCGGAGTGAACTAGGAATAACAGCTTAGAACTGATAGATTTATCCAGTATAAATAAATTAAGCCAGTTCAGCTCATGTAGTATTAAAATGGCGAAGGTATAATATTCATGAATTTACTCTTACAGAGAACAGTAGATGTCCATACCTACAGCCTATCACCTATACTGGTTTGAGGAAATGTCGCGTCGAGGGGGATTGTGAAAAAGGTTTCACGTGCTGCTTGAACATGGCAGGAAACGGGTACTGTCATAAACCCACGGAAGATGAACTGATGAAGACGAATTAGGTTATAGCTGAATGATCTTTAAGAATGGCTCAGAGCAGTCCAAATGCGAATAAGGACGCTTAAAACAGAACATTAAAAGCAGATGCTTCATAGATGTATCAGATCTACGTAATGTACAACCTCTACCTAGGGCGCTTTTGGCTCCAGAAGCCCTGGGAACGAGGTTGCGTAATGCAATACTCGGTCCCATACGAGGATTTTAGACTATTGGAATAATCTGATTAGATAGTGGTAATCTGTTAAAAGTAACGTCTTTATATCTGAAAAAACACTCATTTATATAAAATATAAATGTAAATATACTTTATGCAAAACTACTTTGTATGCTCAGTATACTTTGTACTCAGTATTCTTTGTATAATGTTTCCATAATTTGTCAAGTCAAATGTTTTTACCCATAGTATTACCTGTTGAATATAATCCTATTTTCTTTTGCCCTAAATTGAAGTTTACTCGTTAATAAATGTAGAGTGTTGACTGTTCACCAGCAAAATGGATAATTACTTTTCATAATTTGAACTTGTTTTCATTTGAGGACCTGCTTTAATCCTATTACAACCAGTTAAGTAGTCTGGCCTTTTACAAAGATCAACGCATACGTTCATCACTGATAGGGATAACGTATCGAAGGACTTTGTTCCACAGCTGAAAAGCGAAATTTTATAATGAAATTTTAGACTTGGTTATAAATACAGGATTTTTTGTTTCGCATGAGAATATATAAGAGCTGTATTGAAACCATTATGCAATTAAAATTGCAGTTTCTGTTATTAACATTCATATGCTCGCAGGTAAGTTAATTGTTTCACATCTTTCGAGTTGGGTAAATTAAATTTGTTTTGTTCTTTTATGTAATCTACTAATAAATGTGAACTTTTATTTAACTTTTAGATAACTTTGGCGCAAAAAGGTATGTAACTATACAACATAATTCCAATTGTACAGTACATGCATGTGTATATATGTAGATTTTTACCTCAAAAGGCTGCGACACAAGATTAAACAGGCTGTATTGGAAACCTTTTGAGATAAATATCTAGATATATCTGCTCTATTTGTACGATATCAAGCACTCTTTGGCATTTCGTGAACCTAAACTCGCATATAACACTATAATTAATCTAAAATTGTTTTAATGTTTGCTTAAAGTTGACTATGAATTTATACTGGATAGCTCTGACAAGATCTGAAAACGTCGAAATTAGTACTGCATGTTAATCCTCTAATATATAGGTCCAGCAAAGGCCAGCATATTGGTCGATTTGATCCTGAAAACAGATGCATATTGCAGGATTGGAACCACTGTCCCTGGGAAATGAAAGGAACTACACAACACATCTTGTAGCAAGTCTGCCAACAAGCCGTCAACAAAATGTGTCCACACTGCTTATTCCAAGTTGTCAACAGGTTTGGAACAAGCTGCTAACAACTTGTAACAACCTTGTTAATATTATCAGACTTGTTGCAAGGTTGTTCCAACAACTCCGATACAGTCATGATATAGCAATATTGTTACAAGTTGCAACATACTTGTTATATCATGACTGTATTAGACTTGTTAGAACAATCTTGTAACACGTCTGATAATGCCATCAAGCTTTTTACAAGTTGTTCCCAGATTGTTCCAAACTTGTTACAACAACTGGGAACAAGCAGTGCGAACACAACTTGTCGACAGCTTGTGAACAGATTTGTAACAACTTGTTTGCAGACCTGTAACAACTTGTGCGTTTTTACGAGTGTACTGGAAAAACAGCACCTCTAACGTACGAAACATTAATTTTACTTTAGATTTGTGTCCACCTCGATCAAAGATCAACTGTTTGAACACTTTATTCCTCTTCCCATGTCAAACGGACGAACAATGCTCGGAAAAAGCAAGCATGGTTTGCTGTCCCACCAACTGTCCTAACTATTCAAATAAAATGTGTGTCTCAAGAGGTGAGGGAAGGCCTGCCCACTTCACACGACCAGTCATGATTATCATTCTGAATTATGGAAACTACTGCTGACGCCACAAGTCGTCTTCCTTGAGGGTGATTGCTAGATAGTATACTTCAAAATAAGGTTTCCGTTTTTATAACGTAGAAAAAACTATCCTAACGCAAAACTAAACCCTAACCCTAATTACTAACCCTACCCCTAATACTACCCCTACCCCTAACCCTACCCCTAAACTTAACCTAACCCTAACTTATTTTAAAAATTGATATAGAAACGGAAACCTTATTTTGAGGTATACTATCTAGCAATCGCCCTTCATTGAGTTCATGGCGAAATTTCTTTACCTGTATTTATTCGATTACACACGCCAGAATGAGAATGGTATACGACTAATCGTATGGTGTACACTCGTAAAAACGCACAGGATGTTACAAGTCTGCCAACAAGTTGTTAGAAATCTGTTCACAAGCTGTCGACAAGTTGTGTTCGCACTGCTTGTTCCCAGTTGTTGTAACAAGTTTGGAACAAGCTGTTAACAACTTGTAGCAAGCTTGATGGCATTATCAGACTTGTTACAAGGTTGTTCTAACAAGTCCGATACAGTCATGATATAACAAGAATGTTACAAGGTTGACGACACAAGGTTGTAACAATATTGTTATATCATGACTGTATCGGACTTGTCGGAACAACCTTGTAACAAGTCTGATAGTATCAACAAGGTTGTTACAAGTTGTTAACAGCTTGTTCCAAACTTGTTGCCAACTTGGGACAAGCAGTGCGAACACAACTTGTTGACGACTAGTTGGCAGACTTGCTACAAGATGTGAGATTTTCGCGTGTGTACACACGTAAAAATCTCACAACTTGTCAACAAGATGTGTTCGCAACAGGCTTGTAGCAACCTTGTCAACAAGTTGTAACAATGCTGTTATTTTATTCACTCGCAACTTGTTGACAAATTGTTGAATTGCAGGACGATGACAAGTTGTTGGAACAACTTGTAACAACTCTGTTGAGCTCAACAACGTTGTAGCAAGTTGTCAACAAGCTGGGAACAAGCAGTGCGAACACATCTTGTTGACAAGTTGTTGGAACAGCATTGCTACAAGTCTGTTGCAGGTTTGGTACAACTTGTGTGTTTTTACGTGTGTAGAACAGCTTTAAAATAAATTGATTTCCACTCAGTTCTAGCTCTCTTAATTCTTGGACACTAAATGAGTTTACTATAAAATATTGCCATCTCACTTTTCGTTGTATAATATTTAAAACGTTCTGGCTTCAACAATTTCCGTTTCTCTTTTCGTTCCTAGTGACAGACTACTGTCCGTTTCAACCAGCTTTTCATCAACGCAAGTCATGTGAGCATACGAAAAACTGTGGCAAAGATATGATGTGTTGTAGAGATGTACTGGGAAACGGATATTGTCATCACGAATAAGGTTTAGGCAACGAAACATATTGTTTTTGTAAATAGTACATGTACATAGTATTTAAACCGATAGATAAACCAAAAGGATAAAGATGGTGATTCGTCTAAAGCCCTATTTGTTCGGAATAGAATAAGGTTAGGGAACTCGATGGTTGCTCTAGTGAGAATACAATACACACGCAGGGCCGCCGAGAGGTTGGCGGGGGCCCGGGGCAATTTTTTTTTAGGGGCCCCTATTTTTCGGACAACAACTCCCCCCCCCCCAAAAAAAAACCCCAGATATCTTAGCCCAAAAAACAGATATCTTGTCCTTTGCGCGGAAATATTTAACACACAAAAAAGACTGGGGCCCAACAAAAAATTTTCAGGGGCCCCCAGCACCTCGGGGCCCGGGGCAATTTTCCCCCTGCCCCCCCCCTTCTCGGCGGCCCTGTACACACGTAACGATGAACCGACCATTTCCTGCATAAACGAAGAGATAAAAACATAAAAGAGGTAACGAGATAGTGTCTGCATCGAGTTCCCTACCTTCTTTACTCCATTGACTATGGTTCGGTTAAGGGATAATGTAAACCTAATTTAGACCAATTTAGACACTGGCTGACACTCTGGGTAACCCCAATAATTCTTCAAGCCTTGATGCAAGCTTTTTTACTTTGTAATTAAAGGTAATCTACAGTCCGATCTGCGCATGTGCACAAAGGAGCCCACTTTTTATGATACAAACAGTTTTACTATGTTTTGGGTCCATGCATAGCCTGATTGTTGTTTCTTGATCATTTATTATACTCTAGAAGCTGAAAATATAAATAGCTATCAACTAAAGCTCAATATTTTGGACGCAAAAATGTAAACAAAGGCTTTGTTTACATACGGACTGTAGATCACCTTTAAGCTTCAGAAGCAAAAGTTTTTTTACAATCATTATTTACCAAATTTGCATTAAATTTGAGCCAAAAGTTCCTCATCACCATCATGACGTCATCACATTGTCATGACGTCATAATATTATCATGACATCAGCATAACGTTATATTGACGTTCTAACAAAATCAATCTCCTATATAAAACTATACAACTATAATTTATTTACCATTTCTACAGTTTTGAGTCAAACGATTTCCTTGGCGACCACGCAAACAGGGGATCAAATTTCCACTCTTCATCTTCTTGTTTATCCTGATTATCCTTATCTCTCCCTAGGTTCTCCATACTGACCTCCTCTGTGAACAGTTCACGTTCGTTGAATACAGGTTCATCAGCGAAATTACCCAGACAAATGATTAACAGAAGTACCACCAGAATAAATAATATCAGAGCGACGCCCGCCAGCTGACCTGACAACAGATTCTCGCGGGTTGAAGGGTCTTCTGGGGCTAAAAAATACAAAAGTAAATAGACTTGCCTTAACGTGGAGGTCCAGCGTAGGTAGCATTCTACAATAAGCTGTCGTGGTTTGTGTCTGAACTACCTGGAAAAGATATCTCAAACGTGGTGGTCCAGTGTAGGTAGTATTCTATACAATAACCTGCCGTGGTTTGTGTCTGAACTACCTGGAAAAGATATCTCAAGCGTGGTGGTCCAGTGTAGGTAGTATTCTACACTGCACTGTAGAACACTGGCACAGATTATTCGAGTTCATAAGAGTTGGAAACGCCGACGTATTTGCAATGTTTACAACGGCGGCTTACTGTGGAATACTGTGGAATACTACCTACATTACACTGGCTCTTTTTAACCTTAATGCTACGGTCGATTTGTAAATATGTTTATAAATAAGTAAAATACATGATTCTCTCAAAGAAGAAGATACACTAACTTTTCAGCCAAAAAGAATAGTTAGTTGAATCAACATCCACACTTCCAACTCGTCCTGACTTGACAGCCTTTTTAAGACGTTCTAACGCCTTGTCAGCATTATTGCTTGATCCTACTCCCATGGTTATTTCCAATTTTATTACCACCCCGCTGTCGGATCTGATAAAAACAGAAACTTATGAAAGGCTCTAAATTAGTAATACACTCTTCCGGAAAAGCCGTGACTATGAAGCCTCGTTTTCGGGATTAAGATATCGGTTTTAGAACCCTTTGCCTTGTTACCGATGATCAAATAAGATTATGTACAGTAAAACCCCGCATATAAGAACCTAGATTTTTCCAAGTTAGCCTAAACAGCTTCTTATGTAAATGGAAGCAGCAAGGAAATTAGGCTAAACAGGTTCTTAAATAGATGCTTATTTTCTTAAGAGAAAAGCGACTCAATTTAGGGAGGTATCAGGTATGGTATATGATTTATATAAATTATCAACAAATGATCTAAAAAATGACAGTATATGCACTATACCAACCCTATATACGCACTTTAAAGCTACACTGATTGCAACGTATGACTTAATTTTGACTGTATTTGATAATATAAGAATTTATTTTGAAATTCTAGCCTGAACAGATTCTTATTTAAAGGGGGTCTAAATAAAATATTTTAGTCTAACAGGTTCTTAAATTCTAGGGCGGGGTTTTACTGTAGTAGATGTCATTTTATGCACAATACCGTATTTCAGTAACTTTACATTCTTTGTAATATTTCTCTCCTTTCATAACGTGATCGACCTAAAATACATCATGGAAATACGTGAATAATTGGATAGAAAATATGTACTATTTAAAGCACGCGTAGGAGTGTTTTATCAGATATAAAACGCGAGGCGCAGCCGAGCGTTTTATATCTGATATAACACAACAACGAGTGTTTTGAATAGCTTAAAATACGACTACAAAAAGAATACTAATTAGGATGAACAATTATATAATCATGCTAATTAGGATGAACAATTATATAATGCCACATGTGTTTTATCAGATATAAAGTCACTCCACGTGACATATTATGGCTGACATGATTTGCCACAAGGTTTATGAATTATTAATGAGTATTTTAATTCTATATACCCTTCGTATGATTATATATCTAAATAGATTTATATCTAAATAGATTTATATCTAAATAGATTTATATCTAAATAGATTTATATCTAATTTATATCCTGCTCATATTTATAAACTAAAGTGAACTGCTAATTAGTCGGCAACTTTTGGTTGCTCCGTTTTGAGTAACCTCAATATATTTAGGTTTCAGATTTATATTCATAATTTGTATTATAGGAGTTTTGTTCATAGATCATAACTAAACACAATAAAATACAAAATAACAGTAACTCCGAATAACATTTTGATTTTTAATCGACGTTTCGACTAGTTTGTAGTCATCCTCAGGATTAATAATTGATTATTAATCCTGAGGATGACTACAAACTAGTCGAAACGTCGATTACAAATCAAAATGTTATTTGGAGTTACTGTTATTTTGTATTTTCTTAAAATACTGAGTGGTTCCCGTAATTATTAAACACAATAATTTTACATTCTATTGTAAATTTTTGCGCAATTGACCTTAATGACGTCACAAGGCTTGATGCCCGTGAGGAATGCTGGTCTTAGTAGTCATCGTCCGGGAAAATTTCGATAGTGGCTATTTTGAATTGTTTAATTTTTCTTTATGCATAAGGTCTATTATGCTTATCTATTATGCTTAGTGAAACCACCAATAAGCTCTGAACTCCAAAAACTTTCTGCTAGCTTTACATAAGCACACCTACCGAATTAGTGGTGGTTAAAGATAGGTTTCGAAACCGAGGTGAGCTCTGGTCCTCCAGTTCAGAGCTGAATGTCACGTTCAGAATCCGTATTTCAGCCACAAATATTTCTGCAAACACATTAAAAATATGTAGTTAAGAATGCTTTCAACATTCTCTGTGAGAGAAAACCCGAGTACCCGACTTTCGATAGAGCTTTGACAAACTGAAAGATGCGTTTTACACTCACTTGGTTGAACTTGAATTCTGGAAAGCCAGCATGCATTCATTGACGAACTGACTGACTGTTTTCATACGAGTCCACATTGATGATTATGGCTTCGTTGGCGTAATTATCAGATGCCTTTCACTACTGAGTTTGTGGGTTCGATTTGGCTCCCCACGACACTTAGGGACCGGTCATTATTTATGGCTGGGGGTGGCACCGAAGAGAAAAGGGTTGGGTAAACAAAATTTTGAGTAAGTAAAAGGTTGGGTAAATGAAAAACAAAACAACTCAAGGGTTGGGTAATAAAAAAATATTGTCATTTCCAAAGCATGACTCACTGAAATATTGGAGACTAAAAAGCAATGTCAACAATCATATGTCAATACAATATGTGAATCAAGTCACTATCTTCAACATTTTCCGATTTGTCAGGAGACAAGTGGTGTCTCCAAAGAAACTACATGTGCAGACAATATGAAAGATTAGATTGCAGAAAATTTCACAAGCCGTTATCAAACTCATCACACAAAACTGGCAATTAAAAGGACATGTGTGACAACTGAATCCTTTTGTAAAGGTTTTGGCCAGGGGTGGGTATTTATTTTTTAATTGATGTTTGAGGTTGGGTAATCAAATTTTTGACTTTTTAATGGTTGGCAAAATTTTTCCCTCAAAAAACATTTCTCTTCGGTGCCACCCCCCACCATAAATAATGACCGGTCCCTTATGTGAAAAGAGTGAGTCAACACTCTACCGAAAGTCGTGGGTTTTCTCCGGGTACTGCAGTTTCCTCCCACAGGCAGTGTTGACAGGGTGGGTTGGGATACGCCTCAAACTGACCCTTTCACCGTAGCTGTGCTCAGTGTGGTGACATGAGTCATAAAGTGGCTGCCAGAGGCGTCCTTAGTAAGCCTTCGACTGGATCAGGTTGAGCTGCGTCCTTCGCAATTCAGTTTAGCTCTCTGCTGCAAGATGACTAGCACACTCCCACTTTACTCACTTACTTACTAGCGAACTAAAGATGAGCGAAATCTAGTACGCGGACGTGACAAAAAGACAGTTACTTATGCTTTTCTTTTGGATTTGTTACCAGTTTAAATTTGTTTTTCACCTGTATCCTTCTTTGTTGACAAAAAGAATCCATATTTTTTACCCGTGTTACTGACACTGCGAGTTTAGGGTGTGTTTTTTTGTCACGTCCGCGTACTAGATGTGTTTTTTTGTCACGTCCGCGTAATAGCTCTCTACTCACAGAAGAGTGGATGCCGTGTGAAGTAAAACATAAACGATGTAAAACATACTATTAGATCCTTCGGTAGGAACAACTGTGCTCGATGAAAATTGTACACTTGACGATTCCTGATGTGTTGCCAAGTTTTGTTGTATAGACACCGTCCGTGTTGAAATATATGGCGACGATGAATTCACTGTCCACAGTGAACTATTGAAGGACTCAGTTTTGTTGGCTTTGGGAAGAGCAGATGGAATTGAGATGCTGCCACTTAGAGGAGTTGTCAATAAAGTCCGCGTTGTTAAAGAAGTGTTAGTTCCAGTATGATGGATGGTTGTTAGTTTGCTTTCGATTATCCCTAAAAGACATGGAATGAAAATTGTAAAAACTAAACTAACTTTATCTATTTCTCTCTACAGGTTCCGTAAAGTCATCAGCTTTATCAATTTACTTTAAAACTGTTCTCATAGAGGTCCTGACCAGTAAAATCATCCCTTATTGATCCAGTGTCACTACAAGAAAAACCCCAAGCTAAATTAAATTTATTTATACTGGATAGCTCTATCAGTTCTAAACTGTTCTCCCAATATAGATCCAGTAAGGATCTTCTTTTATTTTTCTATTCGGTTTACCCGGAGAAAAGGAGTTTGGTGAAGTTCAGCTATGGAAACTATGGTATACATACTACTATTTTTTGAAAATATTGTTTCACTTGGCTGAGATTGCAGAATCGACGAAGATGAAAAATTCATTTTAAGTTTAGGGTGCAATGTAGACAGCAAAATAGTCGCAGTTGGCAATGCTGTTGAGGTGTTAGCAAGGTTTGGTACAGCCAGAGAGCTTGGTCGTACGATGGTGGTCAATAAAGTTGAAGAAGTTCCATTGAACGAGATGGTATTTGCAAAACATCCTACAGAAGAGCGAGAAAACCGTATTAACAAGTCATACATATAGCAAGAGCCAAGTGAATGAGTGATCCAGTAAGGGTCGTCTCTTACTGATCCGGTGTAAACTAACTTTATTTATACTGGATAGCTTCTATCAGTTCTAAACTGTTCTTCCTAGAGGTCCAGTAAGGATAATTTCTTATTGATCCAGTGTTACTACAAGAGGAAACCTACACTAAACTAACTTTATTTACACTGGATAGCTCTATCAGTTCTAAACTGTTCTTCCTAGAGGTCCAGTAAGGATCATCTCTTATTGATCCAGTGTTACTACAGGAGGAACCTAAACTAAACTAACTTTATTTATACTGGATAGCTTCCATCAGTTCTAAACTGTTCTTCCTAGAGGTCCAGTAAGGATAATTTCTTATTGATCCAGTGTTACTACAAGAGGAAACCTACACTAAACTAACTTTATTTACACTGGATAGCTCTATCAGTTCTAAACTGTTCTTCCTAGAGGTCCAGTAAGGATCATCTCTTATTGATCCAGTGTTACTACAGGAGGAACCTAAACTAAACTAACTTTATTTATACTGGATAGCTTCCATCAGTTCTAAACTGTTCTTCCTAGCAGTCCAGTAAGGATAATTTCTTATTGATCCAGTGTTACTACAAGAGGAAACCTACACTAAACTAACTTTATTTATACTGGATAGCTCTATCAGTTCTGAACTGTTCTTCCTAGAGGTCCAGTAAGGATCATCTCTTATTGATCCAGTGTTACTACAAGAGGAAACATAAACTAAACTAACTTTATTTATACTGGATAGCTCTATCAGTTCTGAACTGTTCTTCCTAGAGGTCCAGTAAGGATCATCTCTTATTGATCCAGTGTTACTACAAGAGGAAACCTACACTAAACTAACTTTATTTATACTGGATAGCTCTATCAGTTCTGAACTGTTCTTCCTAGAGGTCCAGTAAGGATCATCTCTTATTGATCCAGTGTTACTACAGGAGGAAACCTCAACTAAACTAACTTTATTTATGCTGGATAGCTCTATCAGTTCTAAACTGTTCTTCTTAGAGGTCCAGTAAGGATCATCTCTTATTGATCCAGTGATACTACAGGAGGAAACCTAAACTAAACTAACTTTATTTATGCTGGATAGCTCTATCAGTTCTAAACTGTTCTTCTTAGAGGTCCAGTAAGCATCATCTTTTATTGATCCAGTGTTACTACAGGTGGAAACCTAAACTAGACCAATTTTATACTTGCTAGCTCTATCAGTTCTAAACTCTTCGCGCTATAGTAGTCAGGCCGTTCCTTATTGATCCCAAATTTCTACAGGAGGAAACCAAAGTTTGGAGCCTATTACGTACCTTTCATAGAAAGTAGGAACAGCCAAGCAGTCAAACCAGATGCCATTGGGTAAACTTCAAAATTCTAAAAACATTAATGAAGATTTGAAAAAAATTACAACACAACCTTTAGAGATAACGCCGAAAATGTAATCAAGCATTCGTAGTCATTCTAATTTTTACCTTAAAAGTTAAAATTAATTTTCGACTCGGCAACGTTTTGGCTTTGATCATCGATAATCACATTTTCTAAGTATCGATACCGAAATGCTGATTAATGCTTCCTAATAATGATAAACAATCCTATAATGAAATAACAGATAATTATATATCGTTTTAAAATTGTGAACTTTTAGACATCCCTATCTAAAACAGAAGTGATTATTACATTATGATATACGTGATAATATACGAGATATGTCTTTAAACATATTTTCATACTCAATTCAAAATATTTAAATATTTAAAAAACATAATAGAATGACTGACGATATAGTTTAAAAATAGTGTATATTTTAAACTTGTGACTAATTCTAAACAGCATTTTATGTAAAACTATACCCGCATGCAATACATTAAACAATATCATATTTATACTATATGTGATGTATTTAAAACATATTTTCAAACTGAATTCAAAATATTTGCCACTAACCTTGCGCGCATAAAACACACATTTAAAACCCTCAACCTAACGCAATTCTACAAGGTTTGAGTTTTGATACCAGAGCACGTAAACGGGGATCGTTTGTACACAAGAACAGCGTCTAAAAGTTCTAATTTGATATTCTGTTTGACTTCTGTATTTAATTTACTTTCAAAAACTTTGACATTTGCTACGTTAGAGCCCAACGGCAAAGCGTGCTTTCATCTGCATTAACAGGTGACCTGAGCCACCTGGTGAAGAGGTTGCTAGGATGCAAATATAACTGTTTATGTAAAGTCTTGTGATGTTTTCTGGAGTAAAAATGACAAGATTTTATACATCCTCTGCATCCGAGGATATGATGAGAGTTCCCAGTCACGCATTGTCACAGGGGACATTTCAAGCTCTAGATTAACAAAATAAAAGTTTGGCGAGTGTTCCAACTATGTTTTAACTTAAATGAAAGTAGACAGCTGACCAAGGACGCGTGACTGTCAACTCTTATCCTTGTATGACAACTGTATTGCAGACAGATGATGTGTGTATATGTGCATAATTATACCGGGCATAGAGTTTAGATCGCGTTATTCTAGCCAGTATGCATAGTTTGTCTTGATGTGTTTCCACTAATACGCATGAGATAATCCATCTTCACTTCAGACAGATGATGCATCCTAACGGACAATCGATTCCTAATAGTATCATAATAGTATATAAATCGAGCCAATAACGTAATTTTATTTTCCCTCTTACTTTTTGCTTAATCGTGCTGTTTTTATTAGCAATGTACCGAAAAAGACGTTTTCTGACAGTCAATATATTTTAGGGCAAACATTGACCAATACAAATATGGCCAATAGCTACTCTGCCGTCTTAAATTTCTGACAGTCAATATATTTTAGGGCAAACATTCGCCAATACAAATATGGCCAATAGCTACTCTGCCGCCTTAAATTCAAGTGCACAACTACAGGCAGCTGTTTTTATCACGAATACATTAGTGAAAAACAACAACAGGCAAATTTTATACTCTGTTTCAGCTCTTTCTTCTCGCAAATACGATCATCGCTATTAATTCAGGACCGATATATAATGTATGTTATTCATGGTTTATCAGTTCAGTCCATTAAAGGACAGCCCTGTTACAAACTGCAAAACATAGACCTCTTTCAAACGTCGCGCTTCTCATGTGCCGAACGCATTAAAAAAAATAGATATCAGCTGAAATGCCTCACTATCTATTGTTTCTAATGCATTCGGCACATGAGAAGCGTACATTATTAAAGCGTACATTAAATTTATAGTGTACATTATTAAATCGTGGTACAATTACAGCACTAAATCTATCCAGTGGCGAGGGTAGCCATAGCAATAGGTCATGCTATGCAAATTTTTAATGATTTGCAATATTCAAAGTTTAGAAATGTATTGGCTTTAACCTATTGAAATGCAGGTTTATTACGCATAGCATGCGACCAGTTGCCATGGTTAGCTTCACCACTGAATGTATATGTATAGGAGGTTTTTGTTAAATATCGCATGTCCTGCACGCTACAATTATCAACAATAATTATTTTATCGACTTTACAACTATGTCGATATTATTATATACATGTTTACACGAAACCACACCTCTTCAGCTTCGTTTTATCATTCTTTGTCTTATGAATTTTTTCGTTCGTATTCAAACAAGTAAGGGAAAGAGGGTCGAATTAAGGCTCAGGTTCGTATCTATATTACATTTTTCATTATTACATATTATGCCACTGCAAATGGGGAAACTTGCCTTGCGTATATTATTACTAAAATTCATCATACTGATGAGATAGAACGATATTTAGAATTTTTTCGTTCGTATTCAAACAAATAAGGGAAAGAGGGTCGAATTAAGGCTCAGGTTTGTATCTATATTACATTTCTCATTATTACATATTATGCCACTGCAAATGGGGAAAATTACCTTGCGTATATTATTACTAAAATTCATCATACTGATGAGATAAAAGGATATTTCGAAAGGATATCAGACCATGAACATTTTGACTGTTTTGACGATCGTTTGACGACACATTGGACAATCTTTTAGACCCGTCGAACAATTCGAACAACAACATACATGACCACACACCAGGAATATCACATCACGCTAAAAAGACGTTGTCATAAATCAGGTTATACATGTACCATACATACTACCTATGATACTACCACACCACACCATACCACACTATACATACCACATTACACCATACCATACCACACCACACCATACCATACCATCCACACCACACCACACCATACCATAGCATACCACACCGTACCATAGCATACCACACCATACCACACCACACCACACCATACCACATCATACCATACCACACCACACCACACCATACCACACCACACCGCACCACACCACACCGCACCATACCATACCGCACCATACCATACCATACCATATTCTACCATAATGATTCAACTTACCTTTGCTTCCATACATATAACACAAGGACTTTCCTCATGCACCTCAATAGACTCCAATGGTGGCGCGCTTGGTGTAACAGTAGGTACAGAACATGAACCACTGTCATTCGTCTAAAACATACTACTAGTTACTATAGAATACACACGTAAAAATCTCACAACTTGTCAACAAGATGTGTTCGCAGCAGACTTGTAGCAAGCTTCTCAACAAGTTGTAACAATGTTGTTATTTTATCAAGTTGCTACAAGGTTGTCACTCACAACTTGTTGACAAATTGTTGAATTGCAAGACGATGGAAGTTTTCTCGCGAAGCGACTTTTCTCTTTGTCGACATCGCTTATCACGTAAGCAAACCAGATGCTGAGAATGAATAAAGTCGCTTCACGGGAACAAGTTCGCTTAGTGAAAAACGAGCTTGAAGCATTATAGATCAGTAAACTTACTGGCTCTGGTTGACTCTCAGAAGACTCAAGTTTTCTCGTCTTGTCTGCAGCTTTATTTTCTTCTTCAATTCTCGCTTGAACAGCTTTGAGAATTTTCCAACGAATGCCGTACTCATGAATACCAACCTGTCAAAATAATAATTGGGTTTCACTAAAAACAATCGTGCAGCAGAGGATGGTCAACCTGCAGTTAACAGAGTGAGAAAATAATGTTCATTCACTATATGTCGTAGACGTAGTCGTGTAGTTGTCGAAGAAGAAATAGAATGGAATGGATGTAGTTCAAAGTGCGACTAACAATCACTCGAAGACGAAATGTAATATATCTTTATAATAAAAAATCCCATCTTGTTCAACTTTTTCACTGCCAAAGTTTGCGGATATGATGTCATTAGGTGAATTGCAAATTAGTTTTCCTTTGTTTTTTGTACCAAAAATTCACCTAATGACATTATATCCGGAAACTTTAACAGTGAAAAAGTTGATCAAGATGAGGTTTTTTACTATAAAAATATATTACATTTCTTCTTAGAACGACCCAAATATTACACATACTGTACCAAAAATTATATTTGGGGTTAGTCGCACTTTAATTTTCTTGCTCATGTTATTAATATACGTTGACCACCATCGGCTACCTCATAACGCTGCCACCTGCCTACACTAGAAATACCACCACTGGAACTGCTCTACTTGGTGGTCCAGTTACAGTATTAAGTTCACTAGTTCAGTTGTCCATACCTCCTTCAAGTCATCATCTTTCATGTCACGAAGAATTTGCCACGTTATTTTATTCCGGGCAAAATTAGCGATGTAGTCTTGAGCGCTTGCTTCAGTCAGAACTTCGGCTATGATTTCTTCACATCCGTGTTGCTACATTAACGAACAATGGTTAGACAAATAATGAGTTCGGTTTTAGGGACCGGTCATCATGTATGGTAGGGGGTGGTGGGGGTTGGTGATGGGGGTTGGTGGGTGGTTTGGGGGTATAATGGCACCGAAGAGAAATGTTTTTCTTGGTAAAAATTTTGCAGACCCAACCATAAAAATGGCCAAAAAAAATTGAGCCAACCTGAAATATAACTTTAAAAATAAATACCCACCCATGACCAAAAACATTATAAAAGGATACCATTCAGTTTTCACACATGCCCTTTACCATTTGTGTGACTGAGTTTGATGACTGCTTGTGCAATTTTACCTTAATGATAAGCGTTTCAGGTTTTTGATCCATTAATCTCTGGAATTGAATTAACCAATAGTCTTCAATCTCCCCTTCACGTCTTTCTTCTAATTCAACCTGCAATGTCATATACACTTGTATTCCTATATTTATATATGGACTTCATCATGTGACTAAACCACGTGCTTGCCTAAAGGTTGGTTTACCATGCATTTGAAAAGGGAGTTCTGGCATTTGAAAAGGGAGTTTTGGCATTTGAAAACTGAGTTTGGCATTTGAAAACTGAGTTTTGGCATTTGAAAACTGAGTTTTGGCATTCGAAAAGGGAGTTTTTGGCATTTGAAAACGGAGTTTTTGGCATTTGAAAAGGGAGTTCTGGCATTTGAAAACGGGGTTTTTGGCATTTGAAAAGGGAGTTCTGGCATTTGAAAAGGGAGCTCTGGCATTTGTAAAGGGAGTTCTGGCATTTGAAAACGGAGTTCTGGCATTTGAAAACGGAGTTTTTGGCATTTGAAAAGGGAGTTCTGGCATTTGAAAAGGTAGTTCTGCCATTTGAAAAGGTAGTTCTGCCATTTGAAAAGGGAGTTCTGGCATTTGAAAAGGAAGTTCTGGCATTTGAAAAGGGAGTTCTGGCACTTGAAAACTAAGTTTTGGCATTTGAAAAGGGAGTTCTGGCATTTGAAAAGGGAGTTTTGGTATTTAAAAAGGTAGTTCTGGTATTTGAAAACGGAGTTCTGGCATTTAATTGAAAAGGGAGTTCTGACTATCATAAACTAATTATTACATAAATTGATAAATTGATTGAAGAAATGAAGTTCTCTTACCAATCGTTTAGCGAGTTCCTCTTCCCTCTTTTCTCGTTCCTCCATCAACAAGACAAACAAGTCGGTTAACGCTTGACGATTTGTTTCCAAAAGTTGCTGAAAGAATGCAAATAAAATAAAATAAGTCCGGGAGAATGGTAATTTCTTTGATAGGCCATTGATTCAATCCTCAACCTCCACGTAGTCACAGAGTAGATAAGACATACAGATGTAAACACTGCTGAAGATTACGTTATCATGTACCCACTTTTTTTCAGGCGATCGGGCGAAAAATGATCAACTGCGCGTGCTCAGCAAGTTTAAAGTGAGTCGTCATCAGGTCGTCATCCAATCAGGTGCATGCATCTAGTAACTTGCCGAGCATGTGCACAAAAAAAGTGGGTACACTAGTTACGTCTCTGTATGTCTCTACTCTGTGACGTAGTCTAGAGTATAAGTACTTCCACTGACTCACCAAGTCATCATCCTGCCTTTCTTGTTTACGTTCCATTTCCAGAAAACTGAGCTCTTGAAGTTCACGCTCCAGTAATTCAAGCTGTAAAATAACACAATAAATGCAACTTACGATACCACGATCAAGCTCTTTTCCCATAACCAGTATTTTTCAAACTGTACTTACTTGATTTGTGATCCGCTTATGTTTGTCATCAGTTTGTAGTTGCAAAACATGAAACGCTTCCATTTGTGCAAGTTCCTGAGAAAAGAAACCATGATGATTATAAACTAACTTTATTTATATAAGTACTATTTAAAACACGAGTAGGAGTGTTTTATCAGATATAAAACGCGACAGGGTTCGTAGTCTCCAAGACCAAAAAAATTCAAAGACTTTCAAAGATTTTTTCTGCCTATTTTGAAAGACTTTTCAAAGACCTTTGAGAGCAATCAGCTATCTAGGAAATCGTATAATCAATTCTTCACTAAAGAATTTAAAGACTTTTAAAGACTTTCTTCGCTTTTTCACACAATTTAAAGACTTTTCAGAGACCTCAAAGACCTGCATTCCAATTTAAAGACTTTCAAGGATTTCAAAGACCGCTACGAACCCTGCGCGAGGCGCAGCCGAGTGTTTTTATGTCTGATAAAACACGACAACGAGTGTTTCGAATAGCTTAAAATATGACTACAAAAGAATACTAATTAGGACGAACAATTATATAATCATACTAATTAGGATGAACAATATTAATTATATAAAGAATACTAATGAAGATGAGTTTTATCAGATATAAAGTCACTCCACGTGACATAATATGGCTGACAAGATTTGCCACAAGGTTTATGAATTATTAATGATATTTTAATGAAATATAATTCGTCTACCTCATTTGCAAGGTTTTTAATCAAATTAGAGTGATCTTTGTCCCTTTCATTTAAGTATACATCGATCTTTCGTGACTCATCCAGCACTCTGCAGAAAATTGAAATCATGTGGAAACGTTTTAGTACAACACTTCGTAAAGTACTCACCTTCGGCCATAGACCCTTGCGACTGAGATATCGGATTTAGAGTTCTTTATCTTGTTTGCAGATGGACACATTTACGAAATCATACAGTTACATTAGTTAATGACCTTTATATAATTAGGTCATCGGCATGGCCAGATTTTGAGGGGAGGTGAGCACCTCCCCTAGTCTCGTACGCAGCCTGTTCGCGGGTCCGCGAACAGGCTGCGTAGGACACTACACCTCCCCCAGTCCCCTGAGATCGTATTGCACCTCCCCTGAGCATTTTTGCACCTCCCCTGAAAAGTCATGTACCTCCCCTTGGGAAAGTTTCAATGATAGATCAAAGTGAAAATTTGACTTTTTTGGTTGCTTAGGCTCTACACTTCGTAAGAAAGTTTTTCTGTCAAATTGAAACAGTGATAGTTTTAAATCATCTCTGTGTCAAGTACCCTTTAATGCAATGTTTTGAAAGAAAGTTTGTAGTAATTGTAATGAAGGGCAAAATTGGATGAGTTGTATTGTCATAATTCATTAATACACTGATACACACAGTACGTACACTACATGCATACGTCAGGTCGTTGACTTTAGCCCGCCCTAAGCCCTAAGTTTCCATGGGAGCCGTGAGCTAGACCGCTGCACCTCCCCTAAAATGTTTTCCACCTCCCCCACTATTTCCACCAAAATCCGGCTTTGGTCATCGGTAACAAGATATAAAGGTCTCTAAAGCCAATATCTCAATGCCGAAAACGAGACTTTATGGCCGTGGCTAAGTACTTTCCAGAAGCGTGTATTGAACTTCATAGGACACAAACTGCGGTCATTTTAATATATATGCATGTTAGTTACGTTTGAAGAGCCTCAGTTGTCGCTGCATTTCTCACGGCTTGGTAATCATGTAACATTTTCTCTTGTGCTTGCTCGCTCTGTAACAGCGCGTTCATGTTTTCCAGTACTTCCTTTCTTCTCAAATTTTCCGCGTCCTCTTGGGAAATCTTCACCAAGTTTTCCATTGCAATTCTGTCTTTCTCCAATTCGTCCAAGATTTGTTCAGCATTTTTTGACCTGAAAATTTGGGAACAAAGACAACTGCACATTACAACTTCTTGACAAGAACCATACAGTCAGGGCTTTCAAAATAAGATCGTACTTGAAATATCAATCCTGCTCTACTTCCTCCAATCTAAGCTTTCAAACAAAGTTATTTTTCCTCAACCTGATCTACTTTATAGCCTGGTTATTTCCAAAAACGACGTACTACGTAAAACTGATTTAGTTATTTCGTAAAACTGATTTAGTTATTTGTCATCTTAAATCTTGAAATTATCTTGTTGAAGAATGAAAGTAGTGATGCACTATAATTTGGTTCCAGAGCTCAATTGTGTTGTTATCTAATCAATATACACTAGTTGATTTGGATGACTTTAAGACTCCCTACACCGCTTCCTCAAAACGCCTACTTTATCAACACAGCCACCTCCTCAGAATACTTCTGAAAGCCCAGAACACCCACCTATCATTCATTTGTAAAAGCGCAGCAACTCTGTCGTTTGCCTGTTGTTCTTCTGCAAAAAAACAGAAAGCAATAAGAATAAGAATAAGGCTAAGATTGTAGAAAGAAAATATCTGAAGAAGTGCTAAATAACATACAGATTTAGGGGTCAATCCGAACGCTGGTGTGAAGGAGGATAAGACTAATGTATGCTTTTTAAAATGTCGATGATAGACCTGGTATCATCATTCCTGAGGTTCAACATTTAAAGGTACGTTCTGGGAGGGGGTGGGGTGGGGGAAGGTAAGGTACCGAAGTACTCTCTGTACACTTGTCAAAATGTTGATAATTATGGACAACCTCTTACCGTTTGCCAAAGTAGCTAAATTGTGATCCATCTCTCTGTCCTTCTTGTTCTGTTCCAGAAGAATTTTTTCATTAGCTTGACTATCGTCCTGTAGAAAAAAGTTAAATCAAAGTCTATTTTTACTGGACAGCTGAATCTGTTCTAACTTGTTCCCCCTACAAGTCCAGTGAATTGATTCAGCGTTAATACAGGAGGGAACCTAAACTAAACTAAACTAACTTTATTTATATTGGATAGCTCTATCGGTTTTAAACTGTTCTCCCTAGAATCCAGTAAGAATCATCTCTTATTAGGGAGTTTAAGCTTCACGTTTGCGAGAACGGCAAACGGCATAGTCGAATTTTGTTGGCAGAATGTTTGCTTAACTTCTTCGCTTCATCTTCTCGTTCTTATCTCAAAAGAAGCATCGTACATTACAGTCTTAAAATAGTAAGTTGATTTTCCATTTGTTACCTTGTAGCGTAAATTTTTTCTTCTCCTGGCGCTTGCCATTTGACGTTTGAACAAGAAGCTTAAACTCCCTATTGATCCAGTGTTACTACAGGAGGAAAACCTAAACTAAACTAACTTTATTCAGACTGGATAGCTCTATCAGTTTTAAACTGTTATCTCAGCAGAGGTCCAGGACAGGACATTCCTCACCTCAGAAATTGCTTTCAATAAATCTTCTCGTCCTTTCTTGTTCATGGCGATCAGAACTGCCTCTTCTTCCTTAGCTTGACGCATCTGTTGTTCCACAGCTAGCTTCTCAAATTTCTTTTCCTTTCCCCTTTCCAGTTCTTGAATCTTGTTCTAATGACAACAAAAAAATATTCACTCCAGACAATTGAGATGAGCTTAAAACTCAGTCAAACAAGGTTGAGAGTTGATGAGAGTTGTATCATCGACTCAGGCCTTAAAATATCGGTCGGTCACGGACATTGTCCGACCCATTAGTGAAATTGTCCGACGTAGAGAGGAAGCCACCAGACATTCTGTCCGACATAAGTGAAACTGAGGTTTACTGTTTGTGCGACCCGAGTGAATTGGTGTCCGACCGAACTGTAGCTTTGTCCAACGTAAATCAATCAGCAGTAAGGCTCGTATGTTAAATGGAAAATCAGAGGACTAAATGAGTATTGCATAAAAAGTGAACTGGAAATGTTGTTTTAACCTAGCTAATCGAGCGCAGGGCGGCGACGTGCAAGCGAAATGGTGAAGTGGAAAACGGGCTTAACTTGTCGACGTCTTACTGCTGTTCTTGCAAGCAAGTTAATTTTGGCTTGGAAATAAGTATGAATGACACAAATTATTAAATATCTTCACAACATTTACCGTTCAGAATTAATACATTGTGCTGATATTCATTTGTGTCATTCAGACTTAGGCAGTTGCGATATTGAAAAAAATCGATATCGAAAAAAAATATCGATAATATCGACTATAATCGAATTATGCAAATGAGAAAACGTAATTTAGTCAACTTGCATGTACAGTATACGCATCACAAACAGTTAAAAAGAAGTGCATGAAACCAGTCATGGTACATCTCAAAGATTTATTAACAACAGTTTATCCGTTTATGAAAGTTTAAAGATATATTTACAAGGCTAATGGTTTCACAGTACGTTTGTTCGCAATTGCCGCCATACACGCATTGTCTAAACTTCACCGGTGAAAACAATAATTGCAGAATAATGGGAGATTAAGTTGTTTAGTAACAACTTTTGATATTTTCGATATGCAAAAAATCGAATATCGAATATCGATATTTTTGAATCGCAACTGCCTATTCAGACTTATTTCCGAGTCAAAACTGAACTGAAGGTCATCGGACATATGTCCGACCCAAACTCAACATCATCGGACATTTTGTCAGACGGCCCTGTAAAATATGTTTTAAGGCCTGTCGACTCTCATCAACTTTCAACTCCCATCAACTCTTGCTTCTCAACTCTCTCATCAACTCTCATTCTCATTTGACCATTAATTAAGCCCAGAGAGTTGCTGAGAATTGGCATTGTTACAGGGACATTTCAAGCTCTATAGATTAACAGAAAAAGCTGACAGTTTCCTACATCCATACAAATATTTTTGTCTTCAGTATGTATACCTCAATACTATTGTCTTCTTGAATGAATGAATTAGCTTCAGGAAATCTGCTATTCATACCACTGTCTAAAGGGAGAGATAAGAATGTAACCTACTTTGTCAGTTATGGCAATAAGTACCCAAATGTCAATGCATATCAGCTAGATGCATGCTTATGATACAGAATCATACATTCTGATCTGATTCTAATTCACAAGATTATAAGCACCATTTGGCTTAACAATTTATAATAACATTATAAAATTAGTCTTACCTAGTACAGGGAGTAGACACTTTGATGGAGGAACATATTCTATACCAGCCACTAAAACAGAAACGATTGTTTGTCTCTGACTATCTGTCTCATTAGGGGTGGAGCATTAGATGTCATGGGAGGGTGAGGGTTGCTGGATGGGGTGGCAGATCTCTCAGGTGAAAAGTTCATGCAAACAGTGGAAATTGCCGTCAGGAGAGGGAGGGGAAAAAAATTTGTTTCTGATAATAGTACATGTATTTATTTAATAGGACACCCATAGGGGGTAGGAGGGTTAACTTCTAATTTCATCTGTGGGGAAGGTATGGATGTTTTCTGGAATGACCCAATATACAGATATAGAAAAAATTCCTGCACATGCAGCTTCTACACTGACAAAGCTCCAAACTTGCAAGGAAAATTTTCCCTATCACACAAATGGTAGCAATGTTAAATAATTTTAAACAAACCAGCACATAATGTTTTCATCATTTCATCTGTTCCAGCCGAAGCGACGTCTACAGAAAAATGTGGGGAAAAATTTGAAATAGATGGACAATTTATTCATGCTTATGTTCATGTTGCAGTTATTTACCCTTGGAGGGAAATATCATAATATCCACATCCACGATCAAATTCTGAAAAAAAATAATTTACTATTACAAATTTCAACAATCAATAATGTAGTAAACATGCTTATTTTTCAACATTTGGTATATTACCTGTACTTGTGTAATACTGTACATAGTTATATATTTTATGATTTACAGTACAGGTACCTCTAACGTTCTGACATTGGCCAAGGATACCGGAAGCTTTGTGACATTGTTATGAGAGACATTCAATGTCCGTAACGATTTCATCTTGCTGATTTCATCTGGTAGAGTTTTCAATTTATTCCCTATCAAATTACACCAGCATGATTTGTATTTTTTAAATTAAAGAACAAAAACGAAAATCAAGGAGTATTTTATTTAGTTTGCTATTCATACCTTGGAGATCAAATGTCTGAAGTGATTGTAACCTCTCGATGCCTTTAGGAATGGATTTCAAACTGTTGTGACTGAGGTTTAAAACCTTCATTCAAAGAGAATCGTGATGTAAAGTGAAAAATGAGTAGCTCAAACGGTCTGTCCTAGCATAGATAGTAGGGAGTTTAAGCTTCATGTTTCCGGCAGGTTTGAAATTTCTTGGCAAAATTTTCGTTGAACGTTTTCGTTTCATATTTTCTTTCTTGTGTCGAAAGAATAATCATGCATTTATATGGAACAGAGGGACATTAAAGAAAACTTTTCAACTGAACATGGAAACACCCCCCTTACTGACAGACACACCTACTAATACTGTATATACCTGAAGACTTGTTAAAAATCTGATTTCTTCTGGCAGTTCAGAAATGAAATTCTTGTGAAGATCAAGAACCTGAATGAAACATTAACAACGTTTTGTATTTATACTCATAATTGTATAATATTCGACAGCTATATGCAGTCTAATTATTTTGTACAACATGTTTCTGAATAGTCAGTCACCTTACCCTCAACTGTGATAAATTCTTCAGATCACCACCACCTTTTAAGTCTTTTAGATTATTGTCATGAAGAAGCAAAACCTGGAAAAAAAATAGTAAAAATTAAAATATGTGTTAGCCATTAAACTTGTCTAGTAACTATGTATATATAATTATATCTGCTCAACTTAGCAGGTCTGCTTTAGATATATCCACAGTTAAACATTTGAAGAGTCGTATTCATACCTCTTTTTGCATGACTTTGCACATCGAATAGACTTTCTCAGGGACCTTTTTTCAACAAAACAAAATTATAATATCAGCTAATTTGCTGGTACACAACTGTCATACAGTGCTTTAGAGATTGGTTATAGACTTTATAATGTAGCCTAATAGTAGCACGGAGAGGCGAAGTTAACAATTCCTTAATTACAATGAGCAAAACATCGGCATTTCGAGCGAAGGCCCTTCGACTTTGTCTGGAAATTAGTAGTAGACGAAGACCATTCAAAATTATATTATGCTTTGCACCTGTATGGCTGTACTACAGTTATAAATATTGCAGTATTAAATATAATGACTTAATAGGAAAAGTTTAAATAGACCCCTTCCCGTGTTATACATGTTGGCAGGCAAATGTATTTTAAAAGCTCCAAAGAGAGCTTCGTATTATTATGGTGTATTAAACACAATGGGGAATGTATTGTTTTAAATAATCGTAATTTGCCAGCCAACAAAATATAAACAAGGCAAGGACAGCCAAGGTTTTATACTCTATACTATAGTGACCATACGGTAAAATCATACAACATATGCAGTAATAGCAGTATGGCTTGTCTTATTCTGTTTAGATACCGGTATATGTTATACATTTTACACTTTGTCTTTTGAATTTTATATTTTAGCCGACAGGTTTACACTTTAATATAGCGATGCCGTTTGTTTTTACTGTATTTATTTTTAAATTTTTGAATAAATTAGCATAACATGTCAATCAGACTGTTGTCAACGTAATTCAGCCAGCTGCCGAGAGTCATCAATTTGACTAGGGCTTTCGGGCAGGCTCTACTTATAAAAGAGCCGGCCATACTGGCTATAATTAGTGTGACAACAGACATCATTTTGGCACGCTGTATGAGCAGCACGGTCAATCAGCATTGAAAAAAGAATAGGGTCGGCAGAAAAAATAGGGTCGGTCGGGAACCATAGGTATTTTTTTACGCCCTATGCTCAACTTTTGGACTAAATTTATCCATGCTCGGCCTTTGTAATGGTAGTCCGAACATGGATAAAAATGGTATGGGTACCAAAATTGAGCGTAGTTTAAACAGGAATTACAAATCTATACTATAAAAAGCAGCTGCTTACAAGCTATAGTACCCTTCCATATAGCAAACAAATAAATAGAAATACCTCTTTTGCCCCACAAGAAGACAGATCAAACGTTGGTTCTGGGTCATCTTGAGCCTTTATAAAACAAGAATAAAGCCTTTGAAACTAACACCCAAACCTCTTTCTACCATTTAAAATAGAGACACACTTCCTTATCTAAATTTATTGAGCGTAATTGTCAACAATTTTCATGCTGAAAGGCACAATTATGAGAACGCCACTTCAGTATACTAACCAAAACTAACTTTCGCTCGATTTCGCTCTTGTTTTCATCCCTAACTTGTTTCTTGTTTTTAAAAAACGGCATTATGTTGTGTTTGTTTGTATGCCAAAGCAGTATTTAACAGCTCTCTTGTCAATATATTATTAAATTTTTTTTAGGGTTCCAACTTCCATGTTTATATTTTGCGTTGCCATTCCTTCCTAGGCCTCCCATTTCATTATCAATGCGCGGCCGGTTATATTTGAAACAATGACGTCATGACGTATGAAGTGACGTAATTCTATTACGTAATTCCACAATTTGATGATTCATGCATGAAAAAAAAATTGGTCATAAAATTGGTGATTGTTCATTGTGTCAAAGTACGAGTTGCCTCTATAAAAAATCCCCTGTTTAGACCTTAATCGTAATTTGCAATCGAGGTCCTGTATCCTAAGAAACAGGAATAAACCAAAAAGAATGTGTGACGTAATTATCGAAAGGGGTATTGATAGGTTTTAATCTTAATATCTCTATCAGCCTGAATTAATTCAAACCATCCAATTCCTGTTAAGGTGAAGTTTCAAGCGAGAATAGGCAATATGATAGGTAAACACCACATCATTTAACAATCATTTAACTATCTATAATTCTTTTAATCCTACAAAAAACATTTATAAATTACAGTTCATCAATGCAAATCACTAATGGAAAAGTCACTCATGTTTACTAGCAGATGCAGAATTAATATATCATAGTGCATAGGAATTATCAATTTAAAAATATAGTAGAACCTTCCCTTACAGACACATCTCTAACATGGACTCCCTCTATTATGAAGTTTCCAATTTCCCTCATGTATATATTTGGCATTACAAAAAACATCTACACCTCTGCCATGAAGAAAATCGGAAGTTCATCCCCTCCCCAGCTCCAGACTCCAGTAAATTTTAATCATATTAGAAATTGATTTCTGCCCTAACTGCCAAGAATGGACATAAAAAATGTTCCCTTAGGAGGAGTCTGGATTTTTCAGGAGTGACCCATTCTCTGAAACCTAACTTTTATAAAATGTACACCTCTCAAATACAGATACTTCATTCCTTTCTTTTGTGTCTGTATAGGGGAGGTTTGACTGTATAACATTGGTTAATACTTCGCAAAATCATCCAAATTTATGTGTTTTTATGTTTTACTTTCAACCATAATTTGACACTACATTTTTTTAATGTCAACGTACTCGTCCCTTCTTCTGAAAATAACACCATCCCCCGGCAAAGGTGATGGGATGAACGGACTCATCCACGCAATGTACCACCGTGTCCCCAAAACATCCTTAATGTTCTCTATCAATCCCAAATCGTACTCTTGTTTCCCCCGTTTTTGTTCGTAAGTGACTTGACCCTTGGAGATCAACCTGACTTGAAGGTAGAGCAAGCCGGTGAAAAGAAGTAAAGAAAATACAGAAACTCCTGCGAGGAACAGGACATAGAACTGATACCCGGAAGCATACCCAAAAATAAGCATAATGAACGGCATGAACATTGTAAAAAAGGTCGCCATTTTAAAACCACCCGCTATGCTGTGGACATATTCGAAGTGGTAAACATTTGCATAAACTGCACCGATCCATAAATAAATCACCATCATGATATAAAATCGATAGTTTTTATACCCGATGCACGTCCCGCCAAAGATGCAGTGATGGTCCCGTTTGAGGATACAAGTATCGCAAATGTGACAATGGAAGGATCGAGGCGGCGAATTGTGTTGGCAAAACGGACAGTAAATCCAACCAGGTTTTAAAACCGATGGCAAACTCGCACTGCCGCTTGTCGTGTCTGTCACCATCATGTAGTACAAGTTTGCAAAGACATTTATGGCGGCGAAAAATCCACAAAACGTGTGCATATACCACCAGGTTGACAAAGGAGCATGATACAATGGCAAAACTGTCATCAGTTCAAAATTTACCACCACAATTAGCGTTACAATCATGAATACGCACGCAGCACGATCTCCAAATCGCTTTGGGAAAAAAGTATGCTTTGAAGCCATCGTTTAAAACACAAAAACGGAAGAAATATTTATAAATTTCTGTTGTAACAGTTTGTTACAAATTTCCACAAGCCAAACAAACCACGCCTAAGAGACCGAAGTACGGATGGTCAGCGAAACAATTTTGACTCGCATTTCTCAAAATATATTCCCCTGCCAATAACTTTCGGTCTTTTAAAGTACAAAACGAGTGTTATACAATCTAAAAGAGACAAATTTTACAACCAAACAAGGTTATATAAAAAAATTAACAAAAATTTGGTGTTTTTACAGTTTCAGAATTTATCGATATATTACCCAATACTTCATATTAGAGTCAACAACGTATACTTTCCAATATGGCCGACAGCAATGACCTCAAAAAACCGGTTGTACTCATCTTAAAGTCAAAAAACAAGGACGATAGTTATGAACGACTATTCAACGAACACGGATACAAGCCTGTGTTTGTTCCTGTGTTAGCTTTTAAATTCATAAACCAGGCAGATCTAAGAAAGCGGCTTGAAAATCCAGAAAATCATAGCGGACTGGTATTCACAAGTCAACGAGCAGTCGAGGCAGTCAACCTTTGCATCAGGGATATGGCATTTGAAGAAGAGTGGAGCTCATCGTTAAAAGAGAAATGGTCTCAGCTTCCCGTTTTTGTTACAGGCAAGGCGACAGGAAAGCAAGTCAGGGAAAAATTACAATTCTCGCCCATTTTTGGTGAAGACTCGGGGAGTGCAGAGGCATTAGCGGAAACAATTTTGAACAAACGTCCGGCAGATTTAAGCAAGGAATTACTTTTTCCTTGCGCAAATATTAAGAAAGAAATTTTGCCGAATATTTTGAAAGAAAAAGGGTACGGGATTTGTTGTATTACGGCATATTGCACACAACGCGATCCACAGTTAGTTGAATCTCTTCGGAAGCTTTTTGAAGAAAACAAAGCCAGGCTCTCTTCGCCAACTTCCGCTACACCTTCAGAAATCATCGGAGAGATTTCGGCCGGTGAGACTTCAAACAATCCCGTTGAGGTTTTGGAAACATCTGGAGGCACATCGGAATTACTGGGACAAACGTCGGAGCTCCAAGGTCGAGAAGAAGTATCGAATGCGCTCGGACAGCTTGCATGTATTGTATTCTTTAGTCCATCTGGGGTTAATTTTGCCCATGATGCTTTGCAGCAGACAATAAGGTCATTTGAAGATATCAAGCTTGTTGCTATTGGTCAATCTACAGCTCAAGAGTTACATAAACACAGCCTAACCGTTGCTGGTGTTCCAGCGAAACCTGACCCACCATCATTGCTCAAAGTCATCGACTCTATCTTGGAGAAAGGTCTAAAGATATGATATATGTAGTTGATACATATTACAAATACATGATCTTGTAATAATATCATCGAACAATATGATCAATAAAGATGATCATGCATATGATCAAGAACATGAATGTGCAATGATGTGATCAGCTTTTAAAAAGTGAACATTTCAAAGTTCAATTAATATATTGTAAATTAGTATTTACATAATGCATACAATGCCCTAAATGATCCTTTTAAAGGTGATCTACAGTCCGTATGTAAACAAAGCCTTTGTTTACATTTTTGTGTCCAAAATATTGAGCTTTATTCGACAACTATTTATATTTTCAAGCTTCTAGAGTATAATAAATGATCAAGAAACAACAATCAGGCTTTTCAAGAACTCAAAACATAGTTAAACTGTTTGTATCATAAAAAGTGGGCTCATTTGTGCACATGCGCAGATCGGACTGTAGATCACCTTTAAAGGTTCGTTATGCCAAAGAATATAAAAAATAAACTAAATAAATGAAATTTTTTACTGATCTTAATTACGACTTTATGACGTTAATGTAGATGTTTATAAATTTCGCGTTTCCTTTCCAGAGAATTTGAATGTCACCTCAAAGCTTCTTTTAGTTGTGAAGCACACGCTCCAACCTAAAACATATTGTAATTTTTCAAAATTTGTAACTATAAGAAAAAGTTGCATGTTTGTAATGGACCATTTGCATTATAGACTAAATTTTGATGTAGACAAAAATTTCATCACAGCTTGAAAGAGCATCACAAAATTAGTAATATTCCAAAGTTTCGTTGCGAAATGTTGTAAAATGCGGATATTATAGCCTTGCGAAATTTGCAATTTTCAGTCATTTTGTATTACGCACGGGAAATTGACAGCCCAATCGGGTGTTGGGGCATCAATTTCCCGTTTGTAATCTAAAATGACTGAAAATTGCAAATTTCGCAAGGCTATATTATCCGCATTTTACAATATTTCGCAACGAAACTTTGGAATATTACTAATTTTGTGATGCTCTTTCAAGCTGTGATGAAATTTTTGTCTACATCAAAATTTAGTCTATAATGCAAATGGTCCATTGACTCCAGCTGGTCTGCTATTACTAACGTGTTATACCCATAGAAATAGGTTATACCTCTGGTAAGTATCAAAAGTTTGGGCATCTCGATAGAACTAAAAGTTGAAGGGGTTTAGTCCAGTCCTCATCTGACTATGAGAACCTGACTAGATTTCAATTTGATGAAGCCGATGCCTGGACCAAAATGCGAGGACTTGAAATCTAGTCCAGTCAGAATTGGAGGATTTGAAATGACATCTCGTGAGGTGAGGTGAATTAATTTTGATCCAGTCCTAGGACTAAAGCAATATGGTTGGCTAATTTACTCATGAATTATTAATGAGTTTGAGATACCTCTTCAACTGTTTGTTGTAACTCTGACATACATTTACCTTTGGAGGGTTGGATATTGACGTTAGAGGATTAATAAGATTTAAAAAGTCCAAAGTCTTAGCGTACGACAGACTTTCTTCATCTGCCCAGATCTAAAAAAAATATGCCAAATCCACATCTCACATGACTGTAAACAAAAATAATCAGATAAGCCCACACATTTAATCACATAAACCCTGTAGATCTGTGCTCTCAAAGAAAATGTTAAAATACGATGCTTGTGATGTTACTCTGAGTGTATATCCACACCGGGCAAGCTTGAAAAATATTCCTGGCCACGGTGGGAATCGAACCTCAGAGTAACATCACAAGCATCATATTCACCTGAGTACATTGCACTAACACAGAAACAAATCATGTTAAAATATGTTAAATATTCTTTTAACAGAACAACAAGAACACAAACATCTATTGGAACAATTCACTTACTAAGGTCCCCAAAGCTACCATAGCACGGAATTTCGATTCGTTTTCCACTAATTGGTTCATGACCTAACCAACAGGAACGATGAAACGTTAGGGCACAAAATAGTCATCAAATAAAACTTAACTAAATTAAATTCCTTTCTATTGGATAATTCTATCACACTGTAGTTCTACACACGTAAAAATGCACAAGTTGTAACAGCGTTCTTGTAGCAATGCTGTTCCAACAACTTGTCAACAGGATGTGTTCACACTGCTTGTTGACAAGTTGTCAACTTCTTGTTGACAACTTGCTACAAAATTGTTCAGCTCAACAGACTTGTTGTAAGTTGTTCCAACAATTTGTTATCGTTCTGCAATTCAACAATAAACTCTATCCAATAAGATGAACCCCTAATCGAACTATACGCTGAAAATGGTGAACCTAGCAATGCTGTTCCAACAACTTGTCAACATGATGTGTTCGCACTGCTTGTTCCCAGCTTGTTGACAACTTGCTACAAGGATGTTGAGCTCAACAGACTTGTTACAAGTTGTTCCAACAACTTGTTATCGTCCTGCAATTCAACAATTTGTCAACAAGTTGTGAGTGACAACTTTGTAGCAACTTGATAAAATAACAGCATTATTACAACTTGTTGACAAGCTTGCTACAAGCCTGTTGCGAACACATCTTGTTGACAAGTTGTGAGATTTTTACATGTATATTACGGAAGGAAACTCGGGTATCCAAAGAAAACCTTGGAAGCACTCTGCTCACAAGTAACCGAGGTGACATTACAATCAGGCAACTGCATATCGCAGGAATCGACGCTCGGTTAAAAGAAAAGTTACTAAGCCCATGCCATCGATCAACTCTTACCGATCTCACTGTATTGATCCAAGGAGCCTTTAATTCCAGATCACTTTTCTTCTGAAATTGAACTGCATAGCTATACAGAAAGATATAAACGTCATTGCTCGTTTTTGTCCCACCCTATCTGGCTCATGTACAGGAGTGGGAAAAATTGGCGACCACTGCTCGCAGGAAATGTAAAAGTTTGAATGAAGATTTGCTATTGAAAATTTGAAGCAAACTTTAGCATCCATGTCCTACTATGGGCGCAACAACATATGGTTGACACACATTATTCCTTGAATTTAAAACCATGGTCAGCTAGAACACTATACATGTTTATGCACATGCAGATTTAGCACAAAAATATTCCGTTGGTCTGCAGGAAATTTTTGTCTCCAGGTTGTGCTCCCAGGAAGAAAATTCTTTTTTTCTGCCCTGTGCATGTGTGTTTGCATGAGTAAAGAACTTGACTTACTTGATTAAAACAGTACACAAAGCAATCTGTACAATTTTATTTGAGTTCTTGCAGTTGTCATGTATACATTGCTGGATCTACAAAGAAGCAAGTTATTTCAGACCTCAAACTCATTAATAATTCATGAGTAAATTAGCCAACCGTATTGCTTTATTTTGCTCACATGATAATATTGGATACCTGGTGAAGTATATTGATCCAGTCAAAATGAACTCAGTGCTCGGACTGAATCAAAATTAATTCACCTCACTTTAAGTAGTGATTTATTCGTATGAGATGTCATTTCAAATCCTCCAATTCGGACTGGACTAGATTTCAAGTTCTCGCATTTTGATCCAGTCCTCAGCTTCGCCTGGGACTTGATCAAATTTTCGCGGACTTGAAATCTAGTCCAGTCCTTATAGTCAGTTATGAAGTATAGACCCATTGCACATGACGTCACAGCGCCGGTGACAATGCATCTGGAGGACAAATTAGCAATCTGTGCATAATATAACGTTTGTAAACAAAGCAAATTTTGTAAAACTTTATAATAATTTTGTATTAAAATGGTTAATTCTTGCACTGTATGTGGTTGTTGTACCCGAACAGATATTGTTAGGGAGCATCTGGAGGACACTCTAAGGATTTGTGACGTCAGTGCAATGGGTCTATTACTTCAAATCCCCTCCTATTTCTTTATCCAGTATTACATTTTACCTCTTCTCGCTGTTTTGACATAACAATCCTTCCTTTCTCGTGAGAAAATAGATTTGAAAATATTCTGAAGACAATGCCTGTCGTTATATCATGATTCTTGGTCTTTTCGGAACTACGAAATGGATGGTTCTATCAGATGGATGTACATATAGACTGCACGAAACCCAACTTTTATATACCTACCCAATTACTTTTAATAAATACTGAATTAGTTCTTCTCCATTATTAATGAAATGCTGTGACGTCTCGTAGTTTCGGATTAACACCCTTAAAACATCAAGACCTGCAAAAAAACCAGAGTTAGGACACTTAATAATTATATGGGTACCTGTTGGGATAATATGGGTACAGGTTAGGATTATTTTGGGCAACTCACTCGATATAACTACTGTTGAAGAGTGAAAAATTTATACAATTATTTAGATCTAAAGCCTGCCGCACACGAGAGCAACTTGCTGAGCTAACCGCCTCGCCTGGCACCTAGCTCAGCTATACATTTTCACCGCACACGTTGGGAAAACTACTCAACAACAACATAATTGACAAAAACGTTTGCATTTTCCTCCAAGACACATGAAGAAACTATGGTTTCTCGTTGGCTAATTGATTCAAGCAGCTCAGCACTAAGCTCACAACATCCGCAGACGCTGAGATTTTTTCCTCACTGAAGAGGTGAAAAATATCAAACACGATAGATATTTTCCTCAAAGCCTCGAGAGGTCAAATCCTCATGAAAACTATCCGCGCACGAGAAAAACTTGCCGAGATAGCTGCCACGCGAGGAGGTTAGCTCAGCAAGTTGCTCTCGTGTGCGGCAGGCTTAACCAGTGCAATTATAGGTCCTCTGGTAGGAATTGAACCAGCGGCCCTGCGATTCCGGTACAGTGCTCTAACCAACTGAGCTACAGAGATGATTCTTACTGAATCATTGTTTTTATATAAGTGGTAAGTACAATCATGAGCTAACCAGGGTAACATATGTCTGTAGGCCACCGGATTAATTTGGTTACAATTTCCACTTGTTTATGCGATAAAGGACTGGCTGTTTTCGTTTTATCTACCGCTAAGGATAAGACATCTAGAAAAAAAAGAGAAAAGAGCTGAGAGAGTTATTTAAATAAAAGTTTAAACAAAGTTAAAAGTTTCAAACAAAATAATAGAAATGCAATACTTCTGATTTCCGTGATATCTTCGTTCAAAAGTTTCTGATCCTATAAAAAAAACAGAAATTGGCAAAACTTGAAATTATAAGTCTTTGTGCTCTGTCACCACTGTATATTGAATAAAATCTCAGCTTTAAATTAAAGCAGCAAGTATTCGATTACAGTATTATGTCATCTTACCTCGTCGATTTTCTCATTAAAGTCATTCAATCTTCCCATTAAACCATCGACTTTCACTTGATCAAAACTGAGGTATGATTTCTGAAATGCATGGGCAACAAAATCCTCATTTTTACTGTTGTAAACTTAAACTAAACTAAACTAAACTTAAACTTTAAGCTAAACAAAAGGAATGAAGTATGCAAAAAAGCATACCTCTGGGAAATATGAAGCTGTTTTGGTTTCTGTTGCAGACAATGTATTGTCTACGGTCTAAAAAGAAACAAATTCCATAAAGTGAAACATTAGTAAGTTTATATATTAATATTATACAATATCGATTCCGTAATCCTTACCATTGGCGCAGCATAATTTGGCCTATAGCTTCCTTGTCCTAGAAATTTAAGGAAAAACAATTGCAACTATTATCCAAAGCCTCTTCTAGCAAAAAAACTGATCTTTATACTAGTGTACGACTATTATAACAGTGTTATAACTCCCACCACCGGGACAGTGGGGTTGATTCCTGCAAAATATGCAGTTGTCTGATTATAATTTCCCCATGGTCGCATTTAAAGGCCCATTTCCACTCAAGAAAAATTTCAATCACATTTTACAAAATGTTTTTTCTGCGGAAAATTTTCCTGAGTGGAAATGGCCTTTAGAAAATTGCTTCCAATCCCCAAGTACTGTATATGACAATTCTAAAGTTCACTTGGAATTCAAAATTCACTTAGGCCCGTTTACACTTGCTGGGATTTTTAGTGCGATTTTCGTCTTCTGATGCATGTGAACGAGTAGATGAGTTGCGGATGTTTAGATGAGATGTGTACCCTCATCTGAACATTCATAAATCATAACTCATCCACTCGTTCGCATGCATCAGAAGACAAAAATCGCACTAGAAATAGCAGAAAAAATTGTAAGCGGTCCTTTAGAAAGATCCAAGTGTAAGCGGTCCTTTAGAAAGATATATTTACCTGTAAATGGATCAGCTGCTCCTCTTACGTCAGATGTTTCGTTTGATGTCGAGACTCCCGGGACGTATCGAGAACCGCCTGTGAATGGGTCTGTGTAAGACGACTGATTGGCCTGGGGACCAATGCTGAATGACTTCGTGTTGTTGATAACGAAATGAGCCACTTGATCCAAGAATAACTGACTAAGCTCATTCTTCTCCAGAAACTGTTGGGCGGCAAACCATGGATCGTCTAAGAGAAAACACGAGAGAATTATTTTGAATACCTGTTGTCGGGTTAGGTAAGGTAAACTACAGTAACTTTACTCATGCTGGATAGTTCTATGTGTTCTGAACTGTCCTCCTCAGAGGTCCAGTAAGGATAATCTGGTTCAGTATTACTACAGGAGGAAACCTAAACTAAACTAACTTTATTTATACTGGATAGCTCTATCAGTTCTAAACTGTTCTTCCTAGAGGTCCAGCAAAGATAATCTAGTTCAGTGTTACTACAGGAGGAAACCTTAACTAAACAAACTTTATTCATAATGAATAACTCTATCTGTTCTAAATTGATCTCTTGAGAGATCCAGTAAGGATCATTTCTTATTGGTCCCGTGTTACTACAGGAGGAAACCTAAACTAACCTAAACTAAACTAAACTAAACCAAACCAAACTAAACTAACTTCACTAACTTGGCTACTAATTCTTAACGAACGGCCTTCGCTCGAAACGTCGAGTTTCTGCTTATTTTTTAAGGTAGTAATATAACCACTCAGCACAGTAACTTCACTCGTACTGGATAGCTCTGTTCTAAACTGTTCTCCCTAGTGGTCCAGTAAGGACAACCCTTTTTGGGTGCTACTACAGAAAGAAACCAAAACTGAACTGTCTAAACTGTTCTCCCTACGGCTCCAGATAGGGTTATTCGATTTATTTGGATAGTATTACGACAAGAGAAAAGTATTTAGAAAGAAAGCCTGCGGTGTTTGGTAGAGTCAAACTGAAACGTTTCAAACTCGAAGTCTTACCAGTCAGGTTATAGGGTAACTTTAAGGGCGGTTTGCCTTCTTGTATATCAACATCGAAAACAAAATCATACTCCTAGAAGAAACCAAAGTATGAATAGACAGCGGAAACTTGCATGCGGTGTTTCGCAGAGTCAAACCAGAGCACTGTTTTCAAAAGCAACTGAGGAAAATTCTAAACAGACAACTATACACAGGTAAAAATCTCACAACTTGTCAACAAGATGTGTTCGCAACAGGCTTGTAACAAGCTTGTCGACAAGTTGTAACAATGCTGTTATTTCATCAAGTTGCTACAAGGTTGTCACTCACAACTTGTCAACAAGATGTGTTCGCGACAGGCTTGTAGCAAGCTTGTCGACAAGTTGTAACAATGCTGTTATTTCATCAAGTTACTACAAGGTTGTCACTCGAAACTTATTGACAAATTGTTGAATTGCAGAACGATAACAAGTTGTTGGAATAACTTGTAACAAGTTTAATGAGGTCAACAACCTTGTAGCAAGTTGTCAACAAGCCGTTGAGAACTTGCCAACAAGCTGGGAACAAGCAGTGAGAACACATCCTGTTGACAAGTTGTTAGAACAGCATTGCTACAAGTCTGCTGCAAGTTTGTTACAACAGGCAAAACAATCCCAAAACAAACACAAAAGAACCCCCAAACAAATCCAAAACAAACCCAAAACAACCCCAAAACAAATCCAAAACAACCCCCAAACAACCCCAAAGCAACCCCCAAACAAATCCAAAACAACCCCAAAACAACCCCAAAACAACCTCAAAACAACCCCCAAAACAAATCCAAAACAAACCCAAAACAACCCCCAAAACAAATCCAAACAAACCCAAAACAACCCCAAAAGTAACGTGGGTACATACTGGCCCCGCAGTCATAGAGATTACCTTCCCTTCAAACATCTTCTTTCCAGAATTTTGGGATGTTCCATCTGATTCACCCCCAGCCCCAACCACCTCCCCAATCTAAAATATCACAAAGAACAAAGAGTTGGTTATATATAGTTTAGTTATAGTTATGGTTATTGTAATGATTACAGGGTTCGTACACCTTCTCCCACTTAAAATTCCATGACTTTTCCATGACTTCCCATGACCATTATTTTCAAAATCCATGACCTGGAAGTCTGGAATTTCTGAAATTCGTTAACATTTTAACGATAACAGATATAATAAAAGAACAACATTCACTTCGCTCTTGCAAAAATCCGGTATATAACAACTATTCATATTATTGTTATGACTGGTAAATTGAATAAATAAAATACTTCGTTCATGTTATGTAAAATTTCAATTTTCCATGACTTTCCATGACAAAAATTGATTTTCCAGGATTTCCAGGCCTGGATTTTGGAATATTGAAATTCCATGACTTTCCAGGTTTTCCAGGACCCGTACGAACCCTGTGATTATAATTATTAAAATTATACAAAATATACCTTGTCCCACTTTCCTTCAGTATCATTCCACTACAAATAACCGAATACAGAGAATTAAGTACCATTTAAAACACGAGTAGGAGTGCTCTATCAGGTATAAAACACGAGCCGACAGCCGAGTGTCTTATATCTGATAAGGCACGGACTGCGAGTGTTTTAAATGACTTAAAAATTAACGACCCATCTTATGAGTTCATTGGCGAAGTAATTTTGAAAATAAACGTTTTCTAAGCAGAGAAAATCAAAGCTAAAGTTTATGTAAATTAACGTAATTTTTTATCTCGTATAAAACCACCGACACGGCAGTGAATTCCTCTGTCTTTTCTTCATGAATTACTGATGATATAATTAACAATTATTGAATGAGGTTGAGCACGATATGAAGAATTATCAAGCCCGACGTTTGCCGTTATCAACCGAAGCCGAAGCCTGAGGTTGATAACGGCAAACTGAGGGCTTGGTAATTCTTCATATTGTGCGAAAACCGAATTCAGTAATTGTTTTATTATTTATTTTAAAAAATTAAAACAATCGGAAGTCATTTATATTTTACTTGTATTAATTAAGAAAAACACAATTCCCTAGTCCTTCAGCAGCCGTCGTCATATCAATGGCGTCAGCAAGTCAATATGATTCTCGTCGTCATAGTAATATGGCGCAAACGCGTCCAAATTTTTTTCATATTGACTCTTTGACGTCATTTTGCTATTATGAATGTGAAAAATCCATATTTGGTTAGCCATTGAGTTGACATGACAATTTCACAGTTGGCTGTTAGCCAATCAGAAACCAGGAATTTTTTAAATAAATAATAATGAATTATAATGAGTTTTTAATATAAAAAATTCCAAAGACTGAGGTGCATCTTCAAAATCCAATAGATGGATTAAAATGAAGAAAAATACTTATATATGGTGAAATTTCGACTTTATTTCAACGCATTCTCCGGAAAATATAAAGTAGAATAAAATCGATATAATGGGCATATATACCAGCAGTTACATAAATACAATAGAGCACCCTAACTGTTCTCGTTATAAAGAGACTAGTATGTACTACGGATATGCACCTGATGAGCTTCAATAGTTCCTCCTCGCTTGATAAGAAGATTTTGTCCACTCGACTTCCCTAAAACAGGACAGAAATATTCAATAGTTCATATATTTATGAAGTATTAAATACTGATTCCCATAAACATATTACAGTATTGATGTGCTACCTGGTCTCAGCAACGCCTCTGGTCCAGGAAGATCTTCGATTTTGATGTCGCCAAGTTTACCATCACTTGGAAAATAATTAAACAATTTTAGACGGTGGCTGTTTACGGCTGCGCCCAGAGTGTTTAACCCATTGAGTGGTAGCACTCTCCCTTTGACAAGTAAAATCGTCTGGCGTTAAACAGAATAAAATAGGGCGCAGTACCACTTACAGGGTTACAGTGTAATTCATAACTCATTAAAACAAATTATTATCTCTTAAGGAAACTTAAAGAGAAATATTTTTCACCTTGAAACCTGAGCTGGAATTGCGTGGCTCGAAAGTTCTTCTTGAAATTGCTAGAGTAGAAGGTATATATAAGTTCCATGTGTTCCTACCACCTGTGGTAATAAATTCTTATACTGTAAATTCATAGACAATAGAACATGGGTTTTCAACTTGGGGGACATGTCCCCGAGAGGGGACATTTGGCAAATTCCTAGGGGACACAAACTGGTCTAGGACTGAGAAAACAATAGTTGAATACAATAGTTGAATACAATAGTTTGTACTATAAACATGTTTGCTTGACTTTCTATCTATTATTTAAAATTTAAATCATTTACTATTTTACTAACTATTTCGAAATTCGTGTTTTTGATAGACTTCAGTGGGCAATTTCTGTTCAGGGGACGTGGTAATTCAATCATGTGAAATCGGGGACACATGAGAAAACCAGTTGAAAACCGTTGCAATAGAATAAGAAGGTTAGGAAACTCGATGGAGACGTAATGAACCTCGTTATCTATAATTTTCTCTTGGTTTATGCAAGAACTGGTCGGTTCATCGTCACGTATATGTATTGTATTTTCGCCCAACCAAGTGAACCAACCAATAGCTATGTTTTCATTTAATCATTGTGTAATATCACGACTGGGCAATTAAACCAACACACTGTTATTGGTTGGTTGAGCGAAAAAAACAACACACACGTGACGATGAACCGACTTTTTTTTTGCATAAACCAAGATATAATGTGGTCTATTACGTCTGCATCGAGTTTCCTTAGCGTATTATAGCTTCTTATTTTATTTCGTTTATCGTTATTTTCGAGTTAAACCTGGATTTTCGGAGTTAAACCTTGATTGGAGCTTGCTCTGTTTTTGAACTCATCGTATAAATGTATGAAAGCTTATTAAAACTAAACCTATATTGACTATGGTCAACGTGTATCGCACCTTTAAAACATCTTCAGAAGCCATTCGTTCTGGGTCTGACGTGAATATACGGACAGTACCATCACTATTTGAGAAGTGAACCAAACCAAAAGTTTAAAATACTGTACAGAGATGCTGTAGTGAATTCAATAAAATCTGTACCGGATTATCCCGGATCACTGAACAGAATTGTTCAAAGTTACCTGGAGCCAGCAGCAAAGTCTCCATTATCCAAACATGTTGAACACCAAACTGATTGTGCTGGTAATGTTATTGTCTGAACGCATTCACCATCTACAATAAATTAATTAAAATCGCGACTGATTGACAGCGACTGATGAAACAACAGATCGACCGACACTGAGTCACCCTTACGATACCCACACGCTGACCTTTGTAATCTGCTTCCATATTTACCTTTCCATATTCTGACAGTCCTGTCTTCAGACGTGGAAATAAAACCTTCGTTCTCATTTGGAAACGCTGCTAGACTATAAATGAATTTAAGAATCGCCATCACAAGGGGTTCAATTTCTGCATAGTTAATAGAATAGATGGTTTGGAAACTCATTAGAATAACAATTACATAAACTCATTATCTATGTTAGTCAACGTTTATTCTATTCTATTAACTATGATTTCTGCAATATCCAGTTGTCTGATTATCAGAGCCATAGCTGGACACGATAGTTGGGGGATATATTCATATATTCATGTTCACATATACCGTAAAAACAATCGCTTCAGAAATCGTCGGGCAGAACACGAATATATATGAATATGCACCCCCATAATTATTGGTCTCAGTAGCTACGGCTCTGTTGATGATAACGTCGCCTCAGTTGCATGTCCCAGAGAAGAGTGCTTCACAGGTTTTTCCAAGCATTCAGACTTCCTCTTGTAGTAACACTTGACCAAAGTTGGACTGCCCTTCATGAACCCCTACCGAGTATATTACAGACGATTCCACAGATCAGTTGTACCTGTACACAAAATTTGTGTGACCTTCAAAAATTCGTAGACATTCACCATTTGTACTCCATTTTCTTATTGTGCTAAAAAAACATAAACATTTCCTTCAGTATCGTACATGTGCGGGACGGTTGTTCAAAGGTGGATTAGCGCTAACCCCGGGTTAAAATTTAACTTGCTGTTTTGGTTTATGTATTTCTACACGTCTGTTTCTTTCAAAACTTAAGCGGACAAGATTTTGGGAAAAATATTTCTATGTCTATAAACAAACTAAGTTCTTTGTATGATTGCATGGCGATAAAATATATAACACTTCTTTGTTTGTGGAAACACCACGTATAGAAACGTATAGTAAATTATTACTGCAATAAAGTATATTGCAGTAATAATAATTACTTGCAGTAATAAATTTACGTGGTGTTTCCACAAACAAAAAAGTGTTATTTATATAAACAAACTGTTGGGAAGATTGCTTTGAAGATTTTGTTCTAAACCCAGGATTAAGCTAAGTGGCTTTTGAAGAAGCAGGACCCAGCTGTTTAAGTCTTGCGTGAAAAAACAATCTGTCTGCTTACTTGTCATTAGAACTCGAGATAAACTCAGTAGGAGTGAGCACGGCCAAACTTCGGACACAATCTGTATGACCAGCGAAGGTCTTTACACACGATCCTGCCTTCCACATTTTGACTGTTCTATCTGCAGAAGCTAAAATAAGAACCAAAACTTTAAACCTGTTTTACACTTCAAGTGTAAAAGCTCACTCACACTCAATGAGTGGAGGTTCAATCTGAGCTTCTCTTGAGTGTCAGTGCTGTTATTGAATAGCTAGAGGGTTAGTGTCGTACCTTACTATGTGACTACTCACTCTCTAGCTATTCAAAAACAGCAATGACACTCGGGAGAAGCACAGATTGAACTTCCACTCATTGAGTGTGAGTGAGCTTTTAGAATACAGGCGTTAGTGAATGTTGATTGGTTAACACTTCCGTTGTACGCCAAAAAGTTGCGAAGATACACCCGGAAGTACGTCAATACGTAAACTCAAAAATAGTACATATGCCTGATATGCGCATGTGCAGATTTCACTTAAACTGAAAAAGTAGGTACCTGACGCGTACATGCGCGGGATGAATTAGATATTTGTTCAAAAAATAGGTACACACTGCGTACATTCTTAACTAAAAAAATAGGTGCACCTTGCGTACATATGCAGAAGTAAATAGATCTTTCTTAAAAAATAGGTGCACCTTGTGTGCATATGCAGAAGTAAATAGATCTTTCTTAAAAAATAGGTGCACCTTGCGTACATATGCAGAAGTAAATAGATCTTTCTTAAAAAATAGGAGCACCTTGCGTACATATGCGGAAGTAAACAGATATTTCTTAAAAAATAGGTGCACCTTGCGTACATATGCAGAAGTAAATAGATCTTTCTTAAAAAAATAGGTGCACCTTGCGTACATATGCAGAAGTAAATAGATCTTTCTTAAAAAATAGGTGCACCTTACGTACATATGCAAAGTAAATAGATCTTTCTTAAAAAATAGGTACACACTGCGTACAGGTGTGGATTTTGGTAAATATTTTAAAACTGAAAAAATAGGTACAAGTCAGCAAACAGTGATTGTTACTAGGAACGTTTTGCAAGTAAAGGAGTAATCCAGACTAATGAGGATTTAGCTAGGCATTTACTTGAATATTTTCACAGTATTAAACACAACCAAACATTTTTTTTCACCTGTTAACATCATTCCTTGTTCAGAAATCAAAGCTACAGACCAAACAGCTTGCTCATGACCTTTCAGAGTCATCACACATTTCTCATTCAGCCACACTTTAGCTGTCCTGATACATCAGTAATAGAATGAATTAGTTTAGGTAAACTAATAGTTATACTAGATAAATCTATCAGTTCTAAATGCTCTCCCTGGAGGTCCAGTAAGGGCCATAGCTTGTTGGGTTTTAACTGTTTAACTATACAGGAGGAAACTGGATCGGCCAGAGGAAGCTTGCAGTGCTTGGTGAAGTCAAAATGGAAGAATTCCTTTCACATGTGACTGAGGTGAAATTATAATGAGACAAGTTACTGCATATACCACAAAGGCAAATGCACTAAGGTATCAAACTACATAGAAATATAACCTACTTGTCCCAAGATCCAGAAAGTATTGTCCCATAATTTCCAGTCACAAGAGCACATACAGCACCAGTGTGGCCAGTAAGAGTTTGTACAGGTTCTAGAATAAAATAATTTTAATTGTTTTGTAAATTATTGCTGAGAATGATCATCCAATTGCAACAGAAAGAAAAATAAGAAACCCACCTAATGACTCGATACTCCAGACAAGAATCAGATTATCATGCCCACCAGTTATAATTAGGCCTGAGAACAGTAATAATCAAATATTTACACATGTGTATTATACAACCATATTTGGGAGTGTGACTCAGGCATTGGCTTTTAAACATTGGCCTGACTTATACTGAAGATGGATAATCCATAATGGATGGCCTAGTTGGTCAAAATAATTTCTCTAAGAATTTTCCAATCTGAGTTGACGTCATCAATTGTTCATCTCACTATCTACAGACCTTTGTCAAAAATGGACCTCAGAATTGAAATTATCATGCTCAAATTAGTCTATACTGAAAATTTTATGATGTTTGGACATACAAACGTATAATACAAGTACAACCTTTCGATAATTATGTCATTTGGCCTGGGAGCCTTGCTCTCATGAATCGTGAGCCAATCACCTTGCATAATTTACTAATGAGAGTGAGGCTCCAAGACCAAAAAGTATGTTTGACGTAAATAATCGAAAGGGTTTAATAATACAAATGTTCAAAACACCGTAACTTGCGCCCCAAAAGTTCAAACATCATAAAACTCCCGGTGTTGACTAATTTGAGCATGAAGATTTCAATTCCGGTGTCCATTTGTGCCAAATATAAAGATGAAAAATCGATAACCAGAATTAGTTTGTGCATATAAAATGCAACAAGCATGCACTTGCCACGCTCTGCAAACTGGTATTTATTCCATACCATGTGGATATTTATCGCTCTCAGGCATGGTACATACAGCTGCTACAAATCCCTGATGCCCAGAGAAACACTGTCCTTCGATAAACTCCTTTGAAAACTCGTCTTTTTTCCATACTCTCACAGTTCTATCTCTCGACACAGAAATCAGCCCTCCTTGTGGAAACACGCTTCTACATACACCCCTAACGTCCATTTCATGTCCTCTAAGCACATCACTAAGCTTATAAGCCATAATTTGCGTTTATTTCGGTGGTTTTTTTGAAAAAAAATTCAATTTTTTAAAACAATTTTAACCAAAAAGTTAAATTATAAAACGTGCGCTAGAGCATCACAAACGTGATAGGAATAAACGCTGTGTAACCTAAAATCACTGCTCACTGGCTCAGGTGTATTTTAATAACCTGTAAAGCAGGCGCTCGCGGGCTTTGCAGGCTATATTTTAATGGCTCAAATTGTCACGGTGCGAAGTGCAAATCCTGTGAAAATCTATTTTTCTTGTTCTAAACACTATTTATTTTATTTAAATCAGTGTAAGGGAACTACTCAATGCACTAAACTCGCAAACTATGGTAAGAATTGTTTGTATTTCGTAATTTTGGTTGGTTTGGTGAATATTTGTCAAAGTGACAAAGTCACGTTGTATATATTGGTCCCCTATGCCGTCTTTTCTGTATATTGTAACTGATTTGTATAACCACTAGGTTGTATTTTTGTGTTTTGAGGATGATTTTTTGTCTGTCTGTCATCCTGTCTGTTTGTGTTCATATGTCTGTTTGTCTGTCTGTTCATATGTCTGTCCTGTCTGTCTGTTACCCTGTTCATATGTCTGTCTGTCACCCTTTCTGGTTGTCTGTCTGTTACACTATCACATGTCTGTCTGTCATCCTGTCTGTTTGTTTGTCTGTTACCCTGTTCATATGTCTGTCTGTCATCCTGTCTGTTTGTCTGTCTGTTACCCTGTTCATATGTCTGTCTGTCATCCTGTCTGTTTGTCTGTCTGTTACCCTGTTCATATGTATGTCTGTCACCCTGTCTGTCTGTCTGTTACTCTGTCTATCACCCTGTGTGTTCATCTGTCTGTTCATACACATACAAAGTATAGAGCGTTTGCACACGATGTCACAGCCGCCATGTTGGTGTTTCAATTCAAGAGAATTTTAATTGGACTATTTTATCTGGAACACCAACATGGCCGCCATGGCTTTTGTTGAGTTGGTCCCTGGGGAATGAGTGCAAACGCTCTATAGACTATGCAGAGTCTGACTCCTTGTTGGGGTGGGGAAGTGGGATCTGAATCATCTAAGCACTGCTAACTTTCTTATTTAGTGAGTCTTAGTGCAGTGCAATGGTCAATACCAAACCGAACCAAATTCTTGTCTCAAACCAACATAGCTGCAAACGTGCATCACAGACGAAGCAAAACTCATTTGCATGCATCCAAGACTCGAAATCATAGCAATGACGAGGCCAGTGTATCCAAAAGCCTGGCTGTCTTGGAACACCTAAATGGAAGTGAGGATTTAGAGTTATTTTCTGAGAATGGTACAGGAGAAACCAAAGTTTTAACGGAGGTGAAGAAAGATGGCCGAAGTCAGAGAAGGAACGATAGTTTTGTTGATGAAGCTGCACGTCTAGCTGAAATTGATGCTTATCTCTTTTGTGGAAATGTAAGATAGAAGAGTTTTAGTACAGAAAGCTAAAAATAGCCTAGCACCTTAACCTAAAACTGTTAACCCAAATGAAACTCTATATTTATACTAGATATAGCTCTATCAGTTCTAAAGGGTTGTCCCCAAGGACACACCTCAACCTGATTGGCATAATTTCTCATGGCACCTCTGGCAGCCACCTTAATTATGACGGTGATTGACGGAGTACAGCTATGGTGGAATGGTCACTTGGGGGATTATCCCAACCCACCCTGTCAGCATTCCATTTGGGAGGAAACCTGAGTACCCAGAGAAAACCCATAACTTTCGGTACAACTTTGACAGATTCTTTGCACATAAGTGTCTTGAGTCCACAGCAAGAATTGAATTAACCAACAATCTTGGAGGTGAAAGGCACTTTATTTGATGACTGCGCCACCAAAGTAGCACATACTGTAGGTAAAACACACATCACTAACCACCACTGTGTCAACCCCATGGTTTGCAGGTAGATGGAGCGATACAGGTCTTCAACAGATGCCGACGCAAAGGGCACAAGTTTCACGTCTTGACGTTCAATACAATCCTACATGGCCTTGCAGCGAAGAAAAGAGTTATTGACTTTCAGGTTTTTTACCACAATATGGGTGGAGATAATGTGATGGCAAATGTCCAGACGTATGCCGCTGTGCTTGAACTCTATGGGCAGTTGAAAGATGTGAAAATGATACAGGATACATGTGTGAAAATGAATAGTCAGGTAAGGAAGCCTGAAAACACCTCAAATCCAGGGGCTGGTTTATTTATTTATTAATTTATTTTATTTACAAAAAAAAAGGAAGGGCGCACCCACAGAGCCGAAGCTCCAATAACAGGTTCCCAGCGTGAGTTGTAAAATACATAGAAAAATTGTACAGTATACGAAGAGTTAAACACTAAATAGTGCATCAACACAAAAAAAAGGAAGAAAAAAAAAGGGTCAATCACATAATATAAAGAAAGGGCACTAGCAGCACAAAGTGTCACTGAGTGAATCCAAAGGATGGGCTTTGTGACATTTGACACAAACAGTCTTGTATATGTGTGGCAATTCTGGGTTATAAACATTAGAAGTTAATAGAAAATAGTAATTAAATAGACAACGTTTAAATGAAGACAATAAAGTTAAGTTTTTTAAAGATATTAGTAGAGTGTTCCACGTTCTGCATGCTCTGATATAAAAACTGTTTTAAATGGGCCTTAAGAGACTAACATACTTCAATGTTTACAACTTTCTTTATAATATAGCATTTGTAAATTCTGAACGCTGATTGGCTAAGAGCCGTGTTGATATAACTCAATGTCAACACGGAAAGTTTCTTTCTTTATTTTTCTTTGTGCTATATTATAAAATAAATTTATAATATAGCATTTGTAAATTCTGAACGCTGATTGGCTAAGAGCCGTGTTGATATAACTCAATGTCAACACGGAAAGTTTCTTTCTTTATTTTTCTTTGTTCTATATTATAAAATAAATATAAAACATTTTTTCCGTATTGATATATAGTTATATCAACACTCGTGGAAATTGGGAAAACTCGAAATTGTGTGAAAACACTCCGCCCTTGGGAAAATGTTTTATATTTGTTTATTAAAAACATCTTTTCAGGGCTATGACTTAAAACACATCTTCCAGAAATCCATTCTAACAAAAGAACAAACAACGCGCGTACTAGAAGCGATACGCCTGGTCTACCCGAATTACAAAGTCGAAATATGTAAAGACCCTCAACCTACATCCATTTCTCCGCTGGTTCAATCTCTTTACAAAGAAGATAAAACAAATATCAAATATAGCACTAACACCCCCAAGTCGTTTGTGCAAGATGTTATGAAGAGTTTCGAAGAACAGTTAGAGCAAGAGAGAGCTGCGTTTGGGACCATAAAATCGGTGGAAAGAAAAAGAGGAGAGCCAAGAAGTAGCGAGGGTGTTTGCAAGAGTTTTCCAGAGATACAATCTGGATGGAAAGATCGTCTTACTGGCTCTATTCAACGAGAAATTGAACTTGTCATGGCGGGAAATAAAGGTGAAGTTTTGATGCAAGTTACTCTACTTTTTCTGTGTTAGCCCATTTATACTGGATGGCTTTATTTGTTCCAAACTGTTCTCCCTCAATGCCCAGTAGGTGTGTCGTCCCTTGCTCGTCTAGTTTTACTACAGGAAGAAACAAAACTAGCTTAAGCCTGCAGCACACGAGAGCTATCTGCTGAGCAAAAAGTTACTCGTGCCTGTTAGCTCAGCCGATAGCTCACCGTGTGCGCGTACATTTTACTGAATTTTTTGCCTCATGCAACCTTTTCTCACGTATCAAACATGTTTGATCGGTGAGCTATCGGCTGAGCTAACAGGCACGAGTAACTTTTGGCTCAGCAGATAGCTCTCGTGTGCTGCAGGCTTTAATCTATATAATGGATATCTCTATCAGATCTAAACTGTTCTTTCTTAAGGTCCAGTAAGATCAGTCTCTTATTGATCCAGTGCCGTAGCCAGAACGATAATTGGGGGGGGGGGGCACATATTCATATATTCGTGTTCTGCTTTATTAATTTCTCTTGAAATCAATTTTTTTATGGTATGTGAACACGAATATATGAATATGTGCCCCC